GAGAGGGTTTGGAGAAAAGAGAGTGATCCACAGGGCTAAATGCTGCGGAAAGGGCAAGAAAGAAAGGACTGAAAAGTGTGAATGGATTTAACCACAAGGAGATTCCTGGTGACCATGGCGAGAGAAGTGGTAGGGATGGCACCCATACTATAATGGGCATTGCATCACTCCAATAAAGCTGTGGGGTTCATCACATTCATCAATAAATCTACATGGCTATTTTCTGCACTCCTCTTCCATGGAATGTATTTTACACCTGTTGTACCAAACAGCAATTTAGACACTGACATATAAACTTCCTAAAAAGATAAAGCAAAGACAAAAGCATTTCTCTTATTAGAAACAAGATATACTATCACTTATAGCTTCCCTGGTGGCTCAGCAGAAAAGAATCCACCTGCAATGCAGGTTCGATCCCTAGGTCAGGAAGATCCCCTGGAGGAGGGCATGGCAACCCACTCCAGTATTCTTGCCTGGAGAATTCCATGAACAGAGGAGCCTGGTGGGCTGCAGCCCATAGGGTCACAAAGGGTCAGACGTGACTGAAGCCACTGAGCATGCATCATTCTTCAAACATTATTGTACTTTAACTTTCATAATTTGACAACGCATTCATGAAATAATTTGTAGACAACCTAGTTTTTTTAAAACTATTTATCTAGTTATTTATTTTTGACTGTGCTGGGTCTTCATTGCTGCTTGAGGACTTTCTCTAGTTGTGGTGAGTGGGGGCTACTCTCTAGTTGTGGCACACAGGCTTAATTATCCCACAGCATGTGGAATCTTCTTGGAGCAGGGATCAAACCTGAGTCCTCTGCATTGGCAGGCAAGTTCTTAGCCACTGGACCACCAGGGAAGTCCATAGACACAGTTTTCACAGACAAATTAAAAAACACTATTTAGACATGAATGTCCTGGTTTATCACGTTAAGAATTTCAGAAACATTACTTATGTTAACAGAAATGGTGGAGCTGGAGTGTACCATGCCATCTCCCAGCTGCATAATGAGAACCACCAGTGGTGCTGTGAAACTTGTCACCCTTTCTGAGGCCATGGTTCTTTAAACTTGTCGATGTCAGCTCTTGTAACTCGCTGTGGTTTTGGACTGGTTTGGTGATCTACTGGGTGTTAGGATTTCTTCTGGTAGCTTTATGGAATGAGGATAACCTCAAAGAATCTGTCTGTAGAATCTTCACCAACTCAGTAAGAATCCAGGACTCTAAGAGCCCCACAGCAGCATCCTGCTCACTCCACAACAGAATGAAGGCTTCAGGCAAACTTTAGCCATGATAATCAGGCTTGCCATAACTGGCACCCTTAGGCATTTGTGGCCAACACAGCTCATAGGAATCTGATACGTGACATGATCGTGCTTGATCTTGTGTCCCAGTCTGCATGCTTTATGAGGCCAGGTAGGATGGAGGGTCCTGCGGGGTGCAGAGAGCTGGCAGTACTGCCAGCAGCACACCTTGAGAAGAAAGTGCATTACATGGGACTGCTTCTTCCTCCATAGCTCTTGGATATATTTGTAAGTGCCTATTTTGGCTTACCTTTGAGATAAACTGATGGCTGCCACCAGATGGAAAGGGAGAAACTTTCATTTAAAAGAAAAAGGCTGATAATTGCAGTATCACATGACCAACCCCAAAATGTACAAGGTAAAATGGCAGCACAAAGAAGATGATCAGTTGTTGTGTGTGACAGGCAGAGAATGAGGCTCCAGGTTGGCTTTACAGAGCTGGTGATGCTTGGCGTGTGACCTGAGAAAGATGGGTAGGTGTTTCTGGGGTGAGGAAAGAGCATTCCATGTCTAGAGCAGTGTAATGTGATGTGGTAGGAAGCAGGGGTGTTCAGGGTGTGAGGGAACAGTAGCAAAAAGCTGGAGAAGCAGGTAAGCTCATGGATGACCTTGGTGTTTACATTTTAGATGGGGACCCATTGACAGATTCTGAGCAGGGAAGAGACATAACCAGGTTTACATTTAAAAAGATTGAGGCAGCAAAGTAAATAAGAGGATGGCGTCATGGGACCACACAGAAGGCTGGGAAGCATTAGTAACTGTGGCTTTGTTTCTATATTTGTTCCCCAGAGCTGTCAAAACAAAGTATCACAGACTTGGGTGCTTAACAGAAATTTATCCTCTCACAGTGCTGAAGGCTAAAAGTCCAAGATCAACGTGTCAGCAAGGCTGATTTCTCCTGAAGCCTCTCTCCTTGGCTTATAGCTGGCTGCCTTCTCACTATGCCCTCACATGACCTTTCCTCTTTGTGTGTGCCTACCTGGTCTTTCCAAATTTCCTCTTATAAGGATACCAGTCAGATTGTATTGGGGCCTATTTTAAATTTATTATCTCTTTAAAGGCTCTGCTTCCAAATGCAATCACATCGTGAGGTCCTTCTGTGGTCTCTGAGAATTTGAACATATGAATTTGTGTGTGTTTGTGGTAGGGCACACAATTCAGTCCATTACACTTTGCATTAGCAACACATATGGAAAGGGGTCTGCACACCACAGACTGATAAGGTTGTTTTTCATCTCATCATCAGAAAATAACCAACTCATATAATCTATAAAAGTTATGTATAAACTGGGCATTGTGATTTGTTCATAAGACTACTTTTGGGAATTCCCTGGTGGCTCAGTGGTTAGGACTCTGAGCTTCCATTTCAGGAGACATGGGTTGTATCCCTGGTTGAGGAACTAAGATCCCACATGCTGCAGGGTGTGGCAAAAAAAACCACAAAACTTTTTTTCTCTGAATCCATGATGCCCAGTAGTTGATGCTGGTACTGGTTGAACTAATGAAAAAGGCAAATGAGTGAATTTGTTATCAGCAGTGGTAATACACACTAACTGTGGCTCTGGCTGCCCTTAGAGTCTACAAAAAACCAAGCTATACTGTAAGACTTACCTAGGATGGGACAGGGTGGGAGGGAGCTCTTGCCTCTGAGATCCAAAGGACAGTAGTTTCCTTTTATTTCATTTGAAATTATCATTACATTTTTTTCTTCCATGGATCAGGAGCTCTCTGATAACCAGGTCTTATACATCTATCTATATTCTTGGTCACTAATGCAGTTTCTGGCACGATGCACATGCGCCATTGAAGTCTGCACAATGAATGAGGGAATTAGAAGTTCAGTGGTTAGGTTAACACTTTGGGTGCCAGTGTGGAGCCCAGATTAAACCCTTGGTCAGGAACTTCAGATCCTGAAAGCTGTGTGATGCAGGTAAAAAAAAAAGTTTTAGTGAGCAGAAGCTGTAATTCTGCACTCAGGTTTTTTAAGTCCTGATTGTAGTTCAAGATGAATACTTTTTCCCCCTTTTTGGTGGTCGTGGCAGTGGTCACCTTCAAAATGCTTCACTGAGAAAACAGCAGCCATCAACTGAAAACTCCCTTATCCCACTGCTACATCTACAAACTGATTTCGATCTTTTCTCTTCTGTAGTTTTAGTGGAGAAAAAGTCCTTTTTTTCTAGGAAAGGCCAATATGCCCTGGAACCTACACTATCACCTTCCCCTCTTAAGAATTTGGAACTTTAGCTATTCTCTTATCTTCTACTTTCAACATTCAGTTCAGTTCAGTTGCTCAGTCTTGTCCGACTCTCTGGGACCCCATGGACTGCAGCATTTCTCTGTCCATCACAAATTCCCGGAGCTTGTTCAAACTCACGTCCATCGAGTCGGTGATGCCATCCAACCATCTCATCTCCTTTGTTGTCCCCTTATCCTACTGCCTTCAATCTTTCCCAACATCAGGGTCTTTTCCAATGACTCAGTTCTTTGCGTCAGGTGACCAAAGTATTAGTCTCCAACACTAAACATATTCTAATTTCCCATATTAAAAAAGCCTTCCTTAACTCATACCTCCTTTCACTTCTCACCCTGTCTTGCTGTTTCCCTTCTTCAAATGAGTTGTCCATCTGCCATTTTACCCCCTCATTGTCCCTTCATTCTTTGATCCATTTCAGTCTGACTTCCAGCTACGGATCCAATGAATTCTTTCTAGTCTTCTCATGCCAGACCTTTGGCAGACTTCTACAATGTTGGTCACTTTCACCTTCTTGAAACAATTCCTCCATTTTTCTTTGATCTTCTCTGACTATACTCTTCAGACTTTCCTCTTACATCGTTGACTTCTCTCTTACATCTTTGGCTTTCCTTTCACAGCATCCTATGCTGTTTCCTTCTCTACCCCTTAAAGCAGCATTTCTCAAATGTTTGGCATCTTCAGGACACTTAATGAGAATCCTGCCAGTTTCAGGTTTACCTAAAATAATGATGAACATTGCTTCATGTAATGAAAGGGCCTTTTTATATACTACTCTCTCTGCCTTGAATTATTTTCTGTCCACTTTGTTTGGCTGGAGAGCCATCATCTTTTAGGTCTTAAGTCATTTCCACAGACAGTCCTCTCTGTTACTCTTTGACACAACCCTGTTTTCCCTCCATTATGATCACAATTTTTGTTGTTGTTTAGCTAATGATTAAACTTAAAATGTGTTGGGCCTGTTCTACCTGTCTCACGTGTTATTTTCACATTAACATCTTATGTATGTAGGGGAGTATTACTATAAATCCTAATTTTACAGATCGAGAAAGGAAGGCAGAGTGGCAGAGCTGGGATTACCAACCTAGACGATCTGTCTTTAGAGTCCATACTTAATGGTGCTAGAGTACTTATTACTAAAATTTATGTAGATTTATTTATTTATTTTTATAGTGACTGTCTCACTCTCTAATCCTCAAGGTCTGTGAGAGCAAACACCGTGTCTGAAAGGTGAAGCTTAGCTTCAGGAGTTTACCGGGTACATGGTAAGTACTCAGTTATTTGTTCAGTAAATGAATCAGTAATTAAAAAGAAGATTCCGGTCTGGGAGGCATACTCCTCCCTACACTCGTGACCTTGTAGAAACTGCCTTATCTCTTCCTGCCTTGTTAATCTGGGGAGTCGGAGTGGGAGGACTAACCCAGGTAGAAGAAGCGACAAGCTCAAAGCTAGAAGAATGGAGTCGGAAAACGGCAAGAGTGCTGAACTTCCGTTTCCTCCACTGGAAGACGGCATAAAGAGCACAGCGTTGAGATAAGTGATACGCTACCCGCTGCCCTTTTCTCCATTTCAGAGTGGTGTTGAAGCTTCAAGACGTAGGCTCCTACTTCTGTGAAAGAGAGTGGGCAACGCAAGCCCACGGTGGAGAGCAGCGGACTCGGCCACCGTGAGTAGCCTTGGTGCGGCATAGGGCGGTTCCGATGTGCAGAGGCGGAGTCCCGGCCTCGGAAGGCTCCGCCCCCGGGCCGGCGGAAGCTGCCCGCTCTCAACTCCCTGGTCTGGGTGTGTCCCCGCCGGCGCACGCGCGCGAACGGCATGCTGGGAAGGGGCCCGCGCGGCGGCCATTTTGTCTTATCGGCTCCTGGTTAGAGGAGGCATTTAGGCCTGCTAGGGACCCTGAGAGGTTCGCGACTGTGTTGCCGGCGTTTTCTTTGGCAGGTGCCAGGGCTGGTGGGAGCAGCCGCCCGAGGAAAGCACCATGATTTCGGCTGCGCAATTGTTGGATGAGTTAATGGGCAGGGACCGAAACCTCGCCCCGGATGAGAAGCGCAGCAACGTGCGGTGGGACCACGAGAGCGTAAGTCCCGCGGGCCTTGGGCCTGTGCCTGGGCGCCATGGGGGAGGGGAACGGCGCGGGCTGGGGCTCGCCGGGGCCTCGGCAAGGTTTGGGGCCCGGCCGCCCCGGGGTCAAGTGTCTGACCCAGTGGCTGGAGGGAATCGGGAGAACAGCCTAGGAGGGAGGAATCTGCCTGGATCCTTGGTTAAGGGATGATTTATTGTTGTTTAAGTATCAAGAAAGTGAAAAAAAGAAGACTCTTGGCAAAATTGAGTAGCAGCTTAATGAGGCAGGGGAACGCGGGAAAGGAAGGAGTATTTTTGTACATCTAGAGGTTTCGGAGTTTTCACCTAGCTGTGAAATAGGGAAAAGGGCAAATTTGGCCGTTATTTGGCTGAGCGTCATATCGTGGCAGTATATTCAGAAATGTTTCAGTTTCGACGCTTATATGGGGCAATAAAATTTTAAAAGAGGTCTTGATAGGGTTCTCCGTGATTTACAAATATTGTTTGATAGCAGTACGGTCTAGTAAGTCATTCTTGTAGATAATTGTCAAGGCTTTTTCTTCATAGGAAACTCTTTGATCCTCTTAACACTGTAAGGGTAAATGAGTATAAACCCAATTTCACAGATGAGACTTGAGAGGCTCACCTAATATCTTGTCAAGTTAAATGGCGAAACTAAACCTAATCTTTGTAGTCTTGTTCACTTTTTTGTTCTGTGAACATGGTGTGTAACGTTTATTTTAGACCTTACCTGAAGAATGGATGTGTAATTAACTTCACATGCGATTGTAATCAAACAACAAGGTAGTTTAAAGACGGTTGCTAGTCAAAACATGAAGGAATTGTTAAATATGCCTTTTTTTTTTTTTAGAAGTTGCTTACTCATTTTAAACTTAGGCTTTGGTCACAGTAAAATTTTTCTTTTGCTAGTGTTTGAGTAGACCTGTGGGGTGCTTCCCGATTCTGAAGTAGTGTGAAGTGTTACAGTAGAATTCTTTGTACGGGTTAAATGGTTCGATAATATCACTGACTCAGTGGGCATGAAGTTGAGAAAACTCCGGGAGCTAGTGAGGGACAGAGGAGTCGAGTGCTGCAGTCCATGGGTTCGCGAAGAGTCGGACATGACTTTGCGACTGAACAACAAATTTTAGAGGTGAAGCTTTTTAAAGCTTTTTTCCCTTGAATTTTGGGTTTTTCCTCCTCAAAATAAAAATAAGAGTAACTGTTGCTTGCCTTGACCCTTCTGTTTCTAGGCATTTCTTTGTCATGATGAAGTAACTTTTTCTTTTGCCACTTCACTCAATGATCTAAGCTTTGCAAAAAGAAAAAGATGAACTTTCTGTTTGACTTGATGGGCAAATAGGACGTTTATCTATTTTGAATTACAGAGAGAAAATTGCTTTTGATTGCGTGCTCATCAGCTGTAGCAGCCTGTTTGCCTAATTGGTTTTGAACAAGAATTGTGGAAAAACGTTTTTCCCTGGTGGTCTTTTATTGCCACATTGCGTGGGAGGCGATGGGTTTATAACCTTAGCAGTGATGAAGTTCTCAGAAAATCAACTTAAGTTTTATGCCATCTCAGTTATAATAAATCTGCTTTCCTTTCAGGTGCAGCCCCCCTCTTCAGTGTTTCTCACTGATTTAAACTTTTGATGCTTTTGTCAAAATATTTTATGCCTTTAATGACAGATTACATTTCATTTTGGATTCAGGGATTTGAAAAAGTCAATTGCTGGTGTTTCAGATTTCTGTCTGCAAGAAGACGTTGGTACAGACCAGGAATGTAGCATGTGACTTTTTCTAAATAAGTTAGAATTATTGTAGGGTTTTATAAAGCTGCGGAAACTTGTGGCATCACTTCTGGGTCACTTGGCGTTAGTTGTTGGGTGTTTGCTAAAATCCTGGAGGAATGGCCAACCACAGTATATACTGTAAGGGTTTTTTCTTTTTTGGTGGCATTGGGGGTTGTCTGCACTGGGTGGCTTGTGGGATCTTAGTCCCTGTGAAAAGTGAAGTCGTTCAGTTGTGTCTGACTATTTGCGACCCCATGGACTGTAGCCTGCCAAGCTCCTCCGTCCATGGGATTTTCTAGGCAAGAATACTGGAGTGGGTTGCCATTTCCTTCCCCGGGGGATCTTCCCAACCTAGGGACAGAACCCGGGTCTCCTGCATTGTAGGCAGATGCTTTTACCATCTGAGCCACCAGGGAAGTCCTTAGTCCCTGACCAGGGATCAAACCCAGGCCTTGTCAGTGAAAGTGGAGTCCTAACCACTGGACTGCCAGGGGATTCCCTCAAATATTTTTGCGTTCCAGTTCTACCTGGAAATTTTTCTTTGCCACACTTTCACTAGATGGGGAAAGCCATTTCAGCTGGGCGGGGTCCTTTTGTTTAACAATGAAATGGAAACTTCATTGTTAAAAATAATTCCTAGATTACCTGTATTAGACTAATCTGTGGAATTTGTTTTAAATGCAGAGATGTACTTCACCAGTGCCCACCCCCCATTCTGATTCTGTCGGTCTACAGAAAGGCCCCTGAAATCTGCATTTTTTGAATGGCATCTTTATGCATTCTAAAACTTGTAAACTAGTGCTTCCTGACCCACTTCCTCAGTACTATGTTTTTAAATGTTGAACTAGGAACACTTGGAGGAAACTCATTTTTTAAGTGAAGGCTGTATCTGTGATGCAAATTATTGACTTATTTTTAAAGATGTATGTAAGTAACCACTATCAGGGAAAGTGCTTTACTATACAGGTGTTTCCAGCTTTTGTAGATTGTTACCTTTTGATCTAAGAGAAACTGGTTTTCAACTAAAGCCATTAGCTTTAATACTCTTCCAAGGATTCATTGACACACCTCCCTCCCTCATTGATTAATATTTTACATTTCCTTGAGATTAGTATTTTTGCATAAAGCAATTTGTTTCCTCTGCTTTATTAATCCTAAACAACCAGAGTAATGAGGAAAGCATGTGATTTTAACTGCCTTCCTTAACTGCCTGAAAGGTGTTCACCCCTTTCAGTTAGCGTCCACATGGGACGATTTCAGTGTTAGAGAAGGCATTGGCAGCCTTTGGATAATCTGGAGTTGAGATTGTCGGGGATTGTAATCAACATCTGGTCTGGAGCTTTTATTGTTAAATTTATAGCAAGAACTTTGTAGTTCAAATTGAGGATTTTATTTTGTCGTGAAAGTCTCTCAGTCGTGTCTGACTTTTTGTGACCCCATGGGCTATACATTTCATGGAATTCTCCAGGCCAGAATACTGGAAGTGTGTCATTCCATGCTCCAGGGGATCTTCCCAACCAGGGATCGAACCCAGGTTTCCTGCATTGTAGGCGGACTCTTTACCAACTGAGCCACCAGGGAAGCCCAAAAGTGAAATTTTTTTTAACCATTAACTCTGATTCTGATATATAAAATGAGACCTTGTTCATCATTTATCAAACTCATGTATGCCCTCTGTTCAGTGAACGCTTAATCATTGATGAAGGGAATTGAAATAAATGTTCTTTTCTAAAATCTTCCCAGTGCTAACAGATACCATCACTTACACTGAAAGTTGTTTGGAAAAGAAGAAACAGTTAAGTTTACTGTCCACATTTTTTACTTGTGGCTTTTTTTTTTTTTAACATCTGAAAAAGGTATTCAGAATCTGAGCAGGAAACCAGAAGCATCAGAAGCAAAAAATTAGTAATAGATAGTGCATGACATCTACAAGTGTTTTGTTAGACAGTTTTAAACCATAGTCATCAAAATGTTTTTTCTGTCATAAATGTAGACATTTCCTGCCTCACTGTATAGTACAGGGTAAGCGTTGGGCTTCTTGGAATTTCCAGCAGTCTCTATGTAGTGTATATAATTACTGTTTGCTTTTCTCTCCAAAACTTGAAAACAGAAGTGAGTAGTGGAATGAACTCTGTGCATCCATGTATGTAAGACACATTATCAGTATATGACCAGTATTACTCCTCTGTATCTCCTACTTCTTTTCATTATTTTAAGGCAGTTTTATCATTTCAGCCTTAAAGACATGTCTAAAATGTGAGGACTCAATAACTACAGTATTATCACACTGAAAATATTAAGGTATTTCCTCAATCTTTGGTTGATTGCTTCTAGAAAACCATGTCTCATTAGACTGTAGACCTTTTTTTTGGGGGGGATGCCCCATGTAGCTTTCAGGATCTTGGTTCTCAGATGAGGGATTGAACCCAGGCCCTCAGGCAGTGAAAGCTCGAAGTCCTAACAACTGGACAACCAGGGAATTCTCAGTGTCTCATTAGACCTGATTTCTTTTTTTTTTTTTTTTTTTCTGATTTCTTAACAAGGGGAGAAAGTAGCTTAAGTTAGTATACAGTGCTTCATTGTTTATGAAATATGTTTAATTTTCCATTTCTTGTAAGTTAGAAAGTTCCTGTGATTATTTTACAAAAATGTATCACTTAAAAATTTTTTTTATTTTTGGTTCCAGTGAGTCTTCGTTGCTGTGCATGGGCTTTCTCTAGTTGTGGCGAGTGGGGACCACTCTTGGTGCAGAGCACAGGCTCCAGGCACTTGGGTTTCAGGAGTTGCAGCAGGCAAGCTCAGTGGTTGTGGCACGTGGGTTTAGTTGCTCCCCATCATGTGGCGTTTTCCCCAGCCAAGGATCAAACCTGTGTTCCCTGCATTGGCAGGCAGATTCTTATCCTCTGTGCCACCACAGGAGTTCTGAATGTTTTTTTATAAACCTTGTTAAAAGTTGGGACTAAATGACTTTGGGAAGTAATGGAAGGCTTAGCAGGAGAGAGATGTTTACTATCCCTGCTGCTGTGGAAAATTGATTAAAATTTTATGAAAACTTTGTGTAGGCAATAAAAAGAGTGAACTGTGATTAATTACTATATTAGAAAATTGATTTTTACTGTTTTATGTTCCCTCCAATTTAGGCTCATTAAAAATGATTTTTTTTTTTTTTTTTTTACAGAAGTCAGTTTGGCTTATATAAGTACACATGCGTGTGTGCATGCCAAGTTGCTTCACTTGTGTCTGATTCTTTGAGACCATAGCCCGCCAGACTCCTCCATGGGATTCTCCAGGCAGGAATACTGGAGTGGGTTGCTATGCCTTTCTCCAGGGGATCTTCCTGACCCAAGGATCAAACCCCCATCTCTTATGTCTCCTACATTGACAGGAGGTGTCTTTAGCTCCTCCTGGGAAGCCCATATAAATATATATTTAATAACTTTCACTTATACTGTGGAGACTGTCCTTGTAGGTACATGTAAATGTCCCTTAGTTTATTTCATGTAGATTATGTCTAGTTCTTTTACAATTATCAACCAAGTTGCAATGAACATTCTGGTACATATAACTGAATCACTTGTAGGATAGGTTCCTAGAAAGATAATGACTAAGTTAAGTGCATATTTTACATTTTGATGGATGTTGCCAGGTTGTCCCACAGCTCTAGTAACGTTTGGAGTGTTCCTCTTCCCAGCAGTGTATCTAATGCCAGATTTTGTTTTTATTTTCCACTTCATTTAATGTGATGGAAACTCACGATTAAGTTTTTCTAGTCAGATTCCTGAGATTGATTGTATCTGCATTCTCTTAAGTGGTAGTAAAAAGTATGCTATTGATACTGAACTCTTCTGGTCTTTGCTATTACCTTAATTTATCACGAGAATCACAATTATGTTGTGATTGTAGTTCTGGCGTGCTGCAGTCCGTGGGGTCCCAAAGAGTAGGACACTACTTAGCAGCTGAACAACAGCAACAACCAATTCTGCCGTTGCCCCGCTCCTGCCGCCCCCTCTTCTGAGCCCCTTTGGTTATCAGATTGTTAGGTCCACAATAGACATTTAGTAAAGACTTGCTGAATAAAAGACTTAATATTTTTAGTTAAACATTCTCAATCTCTGGGAAAGGTTAAAATAAGCAGTTTAAGTAGCTAGGGTTTATTGGGTAGAGTAACAGTTGTTTTCATGTACCATTTCTTTACAGCAGTATCTTAAGCAGAGTTGGAGGGTAAGAGCACACAGAACAAAGAATTAGGAAAATAGGTTTTAATCTGTATTTTGTAAGTAGCCTCATGCCTTCTTGAAACTCCAATACTTTGGCCACCTGATGTGAAGAGCTGACTCATTTAAGATTGAAGGTGGGAGGAGAAGGGGACGACAGAGGATGGGATGGTTGGATGGCATCACCAACTCAATAGACATGAGTTTGAGTAAACTCCGGGAGTTGGTGATGGACAGGGAGGCCTGGCGTACTACAGTCTATGCGTTGCACAGAGTTGGATATGACTGAACTGAACCGAAGATGCCTTCAAGGCAGATCATGTGGTTGATCTCATCTCAGATGGAGTGATAGGACTAAATGACAGGTAAAGCTGCTGGCATATCTTGTTTGATTGTCTTGAGTGCCTGAAGACATATTTAAGAAAGTAATGGGTATTTTTAAAAAAAGACTGAATGGCAACCCACTCCAGTACTCTTGCCTGGAAAATCCCATGGACAGAGAAGCCTGGTAGGCTACAGTTCATGGGATCGCGAAGAGTCGGACACACTGAGAGACTTCACTCTCACTTTCTCAGTAAACATACTAAAATTTACAGTCCCACTATGAAATAGTTATTATCTCTTTTGTATTGAGAGTACCAAGGCAGAGTTACAGATTTAGTTTTTCATAGTTGAAAAGTGGCAGCCAAAAATCAAACTTTTGATTCTCCAAGCATACCGATTTCCACTTGCCTATTTCATACTCTGCTGAGTTTGTCTTTTCATGCCTGGAATGTGTTGTCATTCATTTCTGAACCTAAGCAGTTCAGAAACTTAACCAGGTTAAGCTTTGCCACCTGACATTCCTGACTAAATTCCTATTTGTTTCTAGTGACGCATGTACTGATACTTAAAATGATGCAAAAATGAACAAATCAGACTTTTTAATAATTAGAAAAGTATATAGGATTTAAAAACTTTTGTCTTCTGCACATATAGAGCCCTTTTTAAGTTGAGGTACAGTTGATATATCGATATAAGTTTGGGGTATACAACATAGTGATTTACAATTTTTAAAGATTGTACTCTATTTATAGTTACCATAAGGGGCTTCCCAGGTAGCTCAGTGGATAAGGAATCCGCCTGCAGTGCAGGAGTTTGATCCCTGGGTTGGGAAGATCTCCTGGAGGAGGCCATGGCAACCTACTGCAGTATTCTTGGCTGGAGGAGAGTCCCATGGACAGAAGAGCCTGGTGGATTCCATAGGGTCATAAAGAGTTGGACACAACTTGAAGCGATTGAGCACAAACATAGTTACTATAAAACATCAGCTGTATTCCCTGAGCAGTACTTCTTTGTAGCTTATTTAACTTATATTCTTATATATCATAGTCTGTGCCTCTTAATACCTACCCCTATTTGCCCCACCTCTTCCCTCGCCACTGGTTCTCTACATTGCAGAGTCTGTTTTGTTATTGTTATTTTCACTAATTTATTTTTCTAGATACCTCAAATACATACAGTGTTTTGCCTCTGTTTGGCTTATTTCACTAAGTATAATTCCCTCCAGATCTATCTGTGTTGTTGTGAATGGCAAATTTCCATTATTTTTCATGGCTGATTATTGTTCCAGCATATATATTTACCTCATTTTCTTAATCCATCCATGTGTTGATGGACATTAAGGATGCTTTCCTTCTTTCTTGGCTATTGTAAATAATGCTGCTGTGAACATTGGTGTGAATTACTGTTTTCATTTTCTTTGAATGTATACTCTGAAGTGAAATTGCTGGATTAAATATAGTAGCTTTATTTTTAGTGTTTTGAGGAATTTCCATGTGATTTTTTTCAGGGTGGCTGCACCAATTTACATTTCTACCAGCAGTGTACCAGGGGTTCCCTTTTCTCCACATCCTCGCCCACGTGTTACTTGCGGTCATACTGAGCCTTTTTAATAATTTAAAGTATTAGGAGAATTTCCGAAAGAAAGTGGTACAAAGATACTATGACATATGGCTACAAGTAACAGCATTAATATTGATATAAAGCTAAATCTGTTGTTTAGACATGATTTTTGAATCTGGTTGTTCTTTATGACCTTAGTTCTTCTGGACATAGCTTATGGAACCTCACTGCTTCAAATAAGTGTAAAACAATTGATCTTTGAAGCAAAAAACAGTATTTCAAATTCAACATCCAGTTCTAAATGTCTCAAAAAAACTCATTCAATCCTAAGTTTAGTAGACCTTTTCTGTGTTATACTTGTACATTGATAATTTACCCAATAGCACTGAAGGGTTATATGGAGATATTTTGGAATTTTGCTTAACAGATTTTGGTTTGCAGTGTTACAAAATTAAATTTAGGATAGAACAGTCTCAGAATATATCTGAAGGAGTTACAAAAGTACCAATGCGAGAGAATTGAAAATTGGTCTCATGTTAATAATTCTTCCTCATACCTTAGAAGTCACTCAGTGCTGGCATGTGTGAAAATACCCAGGACACCTTAGGGCCTGTTACGAGATACTGAACCAGATCGCTTTAAATGAGTGTTATTTGGAATTTAGGCAGTGATTTCCAAATCTTGTGTGTAAATCTTTAACAAAGTTAAAACAATAAGAACAATGCAGTGTTTTATTTTTTGTTTGTTTTTTTAAATAAAAAAAATTACCTTTATTCTGGATGTCTTTATCCAAAATTTGTTTTTTCTAGGGAGTAAGGCAGTGATTTCTGTTATGGTAGAAATTGAAAATGCTCTCAACTGTCAGTCTTGCATTTCTTATACTGAAATCCAGGAGTCTGAAAGTCGTTCATTTGCCTAACTAAATGACTTAACAAATGAAATTGTTCTTAAAGTTACTTGGTTGAAAGATGTAGATCATGAAATGAGAAAATGGTTATTTGGCATTCTTTTCTGGCATAGTTTTAAAACTGATCAATTTCAAAAAGTTAAGTTACCTTTTTTTTTTTCACTAGGTTTGTAAATATTACCTCTGTGGTTTTTGTCCTGCGGAATTGTTCACAAACACGCGTTCTGATCTTGGTAAGTAAATTTTCTATAATTTTTATTGCATTTATGATTATAGAGAAAGTGATACTTTATAATTTTGGAAAGAAGTTTTCTGTTAAAGGTGTTGATAATTTCTTTCCTGGCTTTTTAAAAAATGTATTAACAAATGCCAGTCTGATTAAACATGGTGGCTTATTTGAATCTACATATGTATTTCCATTCCCTCCTGAAACCCCCTCCACTAAAATGAAAATTTAAAAACAAAAAAGGTGTAAACGGAATACGAGATAACATTAGAGATGTCAACAAATTTTTGGAAGGTGACAAGTGGATGGAAGAATAGCAGAGAAACCTGTATCCTAAAAGCCTGCAGAAGGGGATATTAAACAGAAGCAAGAGTTTGATCAGCAGAACCCTGGACAGGCTCAGGATTTGAAGGCATCAGGTACCATAGAAGGCAGAGTTGAATTATGGGGCTGAAAACCAGAGATTAGTCTAGTTCAGGGTTTCTCAACCTTGACATTAGACAGTTTGACCTGGAAAATTCTGTGTTTGGGGAGGTGGGAGGGTCTCCTGTGGGTTGTAGGATGCTTAGCAGCATCCTTGGCCTCTATGGAGTAGATGTCAGTAAAAATCTCCCAATTTTGACAGCCAAAAATGCCTCCAGGCACTTTTAGATATCCCTGGGGGCAAAAATGCCCCATGTTGAGAAGCACTAGTCTGGGTGGTCTGACTTGTGCATCAGGTAATTCTGTCTTCCATGCCTACAGCACTGGAGACTAGCGGGTTATGTTCTGAAGAAATTGGGCTAAATGAACCACAAAATGCAAAAAAAATCGACCATTTTCTCTCCAGGATGGTACATAACTAGTATCATTCTAGAAACATAAAATGGAAATTAAATTCGTTAAGCACAATGCTTGCTCTAAAGCATAAAGAGCACTTTATGGCTGGATATATCTAGGTATTGGGATTTACAGATATAGGACAGGGCAGTGATGAATAAAAATGAGACTGTAAGAGAGATTAAATGAGTCTGTTTTCTTAATAGTGAGGTTTTCCCATTCCCTTCCTCTGCCCTGTTCCTAGAAGGATACAGCCAGATGTTTTTTCCCCAGGCAGAAGAGAAGAGGATTCTTTAGAGAAAGTGAACAGTTCCAGAGAAGTGATCTACAGGTACTGACCCTTGGGGAATCTCCTAAAAGAAAGTCTTGCTGCCTGATTTTCCTATGGTAAAGCCTGTTAGTTGACAAACCCTGCCTGTGCATACCAACTTCAAGTCAGATTTTGGAAGTGTTTGGCCAGCCAAGGATTGCTATTTGAAGAAAACCTTCAAACATAAAAGATTAACCAAAACCAACAGAAAAAAAAGAATTTAGTGGAATATGGTGGATAATGGGAGAAAACAGAAGAAGGAAATTTTTAAAGCTGTAACTAAATTTAGTATCCTCAGAGAAATAAGAGAAAATATCAGGAGGAATAGGATGCTATATAAAAAGAAAAGTTTTGAAAAAATTAAAAGTTCTTGAAATTAGAATTGGAGAAATATGAACATCAGTGGGAAGTTTTGAGGATAAAATTGTGGTATGTTTGAGAAAAAATTAAAATTTGAAAAAATTCTATCAGTCCAGTGCTGTGATAGCTAATTAAGAGTTCTAGATAGAGAAAACAGAAGAGAGAAAAATCTTAAGATTGCATTATTGAAGGATTTTACTCTCTAGATGGAGTGGAATCCTTCTAGAACTCAGCATAGCAAATGATAAAAAGATCCATACCAAAGCACATCATTGTGAAATTCCAGAACACCAGGGGTGGGGTGGGGCACACAAGATTATCAATCAGAATGTCCTCGATTTGTCAGTAACAACACTGGAAGCTTGAAGACACTGGAGAAACATCCTCGGGATTCTGAATGGTAAAATGTTTTTACATAGGTTAGCTGTGTAGCCAAACAGCAAAATATGAGTTTGAAAAAAGACATTTTCAGGCATGCATGGTCTCAACAACATTATCTACCAGGAATCTTTTCTGTGGAAACTCATGGGTGTAAACCAAGAAGGAAAAAAATAAGAGATCCAGTAAAATGTATCTAGTACAGACCAGAAAATGACTTTCAAAGGATGACAATTCTACTAGTGAGCTTAGGGGGAAAAAAGTAGCTCAGATTGAAGCAGCTCATGGAAGAAAAGAAAGCTGATTTGATTATCTGATATATTTTGAATCTTGAGGGAGATTATTATTGAGCTAGTTTCTATAGCTGAGTTAGTGTCTGGAGTGAATTTGGAACTAGAACATACAAGAGAGTGAACTGAAGAAAAAAATTCCAGTAAGTGTATCAAAAGTGTTACCATAATGCCCTTTTTGCTTAAAGCAGGAGTTAATAGGACATGGCATCAAAATATAAACACTGAATGTTCATTTAAACTAAATTTTTCATGCCTAAGATAAACCAAGAAAAAACAAAATAAGCATAGAATTTAGAAATATGGAGGCAAATTCCAGAAGATAAAGCTAAAAGGGTTAAAATTGATTGCCTTTTGGAGATGGTAAGAGGTAGGACTAGGGTGTTAGTCTTAAAATATTTACAGAGACTCTAATAAAATGTCAGTGGTGGTTCAGACCAAAGGTCTGCCATCATCCTAGCTTACTTCTTGGCAGTAAGGAATAATTTTTTCATCCCTCCTACTCCCTCTCTTCTTTTACCATATAGTACATCTTGAAAGCTAAGGAGAACAATTTTCATGTGTGTACTCGGGCATGTTGCTTCATGATTTAGCAGGCTCAATTTAGGTGTCTGCAGACTACTCAGTGATTAAATGGATCTTCTTTCCTTTTTTAAAAAAAAAACTTCCTTTGTTTTGGCAAGAGAAAAGTTAATTTCAATATTATATTGAATACATTCATATTTCTTGTTGTTTTAGGACCATGTGAAAAAATTCATGATGAAAATCTACGAAAACAGTAAGTTACCTTTTTTGGGATCATCCCCACCCCCAGTCTTTATTTGCTTTAAAGGGGACAAGGATTGAAGAAATAATTGGGATTTATGTAAAATGAATGTCATGTCGAGGTCCTACTCATTAGTTGGGGGTCGTAGAAAGTGATACAGCTATATGTAGCATCACCATATGAGTTCATACTGTATGCCAAGAATAAGCCTAAGCTTTTTTTTTCCCCCTATATCCCACCTTTTTTAAAATTTTTTGCTAAGTCACTTCAATCACGTCTTGACTCTTTGCGACCCTATGGACTGTAGCCCACCAGGCTCCTCTGGGCAAGATTACTGGAGTGGGTTGCCATGCCCTCCTCCAGTTTTTATTTTTTAGTTTATTATTATTATTTTTTGGCTGCTCTCCCCAGCTTGTATGATCTTAACTCCTTGGCCAGGAATTGGACCCAGGCCATGACAGTGAAAACACTGAGTCCTAATCACTGGACCTCCAGAGAATTCACTTGGCGTTTGTTTTTTTTTTTTTTTTCGTTTCACATTTGTCTTTTAACAGACCTAATTTTATAAATGAAACTCGTCCTGGAGCCAGGGTCACAAATCCAGTATAGTGTTCACCTAGATTTGCCCAATTGTAACATCTGTGCTCTTGATACACTGTTGAATGCTACCTTCTTTACCAGGATGAGGGACAATTGGAAATTCACTTCTTACGTGTGTGCATGGTTTACACTTAAGAGATTTTTTTCTTTTCTTTTTTTTTTTTAAACTTTTTTGGGCATGCCACGGGGCTTATAGGATCTTAGTTCCCAGACGAGGAACCCAGGCCTACAGCAGTGGAAAGCAGGGAGTCCTAACAGTTGGCCTGGGAATTCCCTACTCTTCGGTCTGAATGCAGTAGTTCATGAGATTAGTGAAGATAGAATATGAGAGTTGTAAATGGATAAAGAATTGGAAAGAAAATAATTTATTTTTGTTTTATTAGGTATGAGAAGAGTTCTCGTTTTATGAAAGTTGGCTATGAGAGAGATTTTTTGCGATACTTACAGAGTTTACTGGCAGAAGTAGAACGTAGAATTAGACGAGGCCATGCTCGTTTGGCATTGTCTCAAAACCAGCAGTCGTCTGGGGTGAGTATGGATTAATTTACTATCTTTGTAAAGTGTCCTTTCCTCTGGAAACTCAGAGATTTCCCTAGTATTGAAACTTGGGCTCAAGTTCAGTAATTGCTTTATATGTTTTAAAATGACATAAAAACTTAAAAAGGTTTTTTTTTTCCAATCTTTATTAGTAAATGAATATTTTGCTAATCGGAAATTTTTTGTCTTAAATATCAGTAACTGACAAAATATGCAACTGATTAACAAAAATTGAGATAATTGAGTTACTGTCCTTGTGGTTTAGCATTTCAGTTATTAAATATGAATACCAGGTATGGTATATGGAAATTTAAATGTTTATTTTTATATTTTAGTTGTTGATAATACACATTCTATTGTCTTCATCAGGCAGCTGGGCCAACAGGCAAAAATGAAGAAAAAATTCAGGTTCTAACAGATAAAATTGATGTACTCCTGCAGCAGGTAAGAATTGGAACTCCTAGAATTGCTAAAATTAAAAAGACCGACAGTATCAAGTATTAGTGAAGATCTGGGCAAACAAATTATTTTACTCTGTTGGGGTTATTTAAAATGATGCAGGCACTTTAGAAAAGAGTGTCTTTCTTCAAAGGTCAAGAGATGCACCATGAGCTATTCCACTGCTAGATATTAATCTGAAAGATGAAAGCATATGTTTACACAGAGTTGTATACCAGTGTTTATAGAGGCTTTATTCATAATAGGTGCCAAAAAAAACCCCAGACAAACCTGGAAACAAATGTCTGTCAGTAGGTTAATGGGTAAACAAATTGTGATGTATCTATACAGTGTGATAGTTCACAGTGATACAAAGGAATTAACTATTTGTAATAATATTGATGAATCTTAAGATACTAGATTGAGTGAAAGAGGCCAGAGCCTCACAGAAGGAATAGAGTACGTGGTTCCATTTAAAAACAATTCTAGAAAATGCAGACTGATTTATAGTGACAGAGAACAGACTGGCGGTCGCTTTGGGAGGAGATGCATCATAGAGACAGTGGGAGACGGGGTGGGTTCGTCTAGGATCCAGTCTACCCTGGAGGTTGTCTGTGTGCTTCCTGTCAAGTGTACATAGTTAATGCTGTGGGGAAAAAAACCAATTAAGGGTAAATCACACCAAAGAGGCTTCACTAAACAAAACAGGCCCCAAACAACTTCTATATGCTAATGAAGCTGGAGGGTAAAAAAAATACTAGGACAGTGTGGTTAGAAAGATATCCTGACTGCTTTTTGAATTCCTCTCAGATTGAAGAATTAGGATCTGAAGGAAAAGTAGAAGAAGCCCAGGGAATGATGAAATTAGTTGAACAGTTAAAAGAAGAGAGAGAGTTGCTTAGGTCCACAACTTCGGTGAGTAGCAGCCCCATTTTGGTATAACCATGCTGTTAGCTGTGTATTGCTAGGATCTGTTCCTATTTACGAACAATTTTCTAATGTCACCAAACTTTTATTTTAAAGGGTCACGTAGTATTTATGATTTCAGGTCATAAGAATTGTAATAAAAGCTCTGTTTTTACATTTATGTTACAAAATAGCTTTAGACAGTGTGTAAACAAATGTCTGTAATTTTGTTTTAATAAAACTTTGCAAAAACGCCTCTAGCTGCTGGCTTGGTAACCTATGCCTTACATAGTTAAGTATTTTGGTTGGTGTTTTTTTTGTTTTGTTTTGTTACTAATCAAATTACTTTATTACAAAGTTGATATATTCTTAATAGTACCTCCTACTTACTTAACTTTCAATTAGATGATACAATATACATGTTTTGGATATTGATGGTAAAATATAATTGAACATTGGTTCCCAAATATTAAAAGGGTATGTTCAGATTATATGCAGTGAGTTTAATTCCTTAATGATTTTGAAAAACTTCTTTTATTATTTTTATTATTTTTGGTTTTTCTGGGTCTTCATTGCTGTACTTGGGCTTTCTCTAGTTGCAGAAAGTGGAGGCCACTCTCTAAGCTCATAGACTTCAGTAGTTGCGGCACAGGGGTCTTTCGCTGCAACTCGAGGGCCTTACCTAGAGCTTGCAGGCTTTAGTAGTTGTAGGACAGTCTCAGTAGTTGTGGCTCACAGGCTGTGGAGCGCAGGCTCAGTAGTTGGTACTTACGGGCTCAGTTGCTCTGAGGCATGTGGAATCTTCCCAGACCAGGGATCAGACCTGTGTCTCCTGCATTGGCAGGCAGATTCCTGTCTACTGCGCTACCAGGGAAGTCCCAAAAAACATTTTTAATAAGGAGTCCACATCTTTAACCTTTTGAACCAAGCGGGAAATGAATTCAGACTAAAATAGGTAGCTTTCTGAAAGGTAGATTAACTTTTTCGAGGTGATATGGGTAGTTCAAGGGTTATAATTGAGGGATGGGATCTTAATACTTCTTGGAAAGTTGATTGCTGTTGTCATGCTTCCCCTGTCTAAAAGTTGCTGCTAAGTAGTATGTTTTTGGGGAAATGGAAAGTAGCAGTTCACAAAATTAAAAACCTTTTCTAAATGTTATAAATATTTTTGAGGGGGATTTGTTTGTTCTCTCTTGATCAGACATTTTATAATAACTGATTTATCGTTTCAGACAATTGAAAGTTTTGCTGCCCAAGAAAAGCAAATGGAAGTTTGTGAAGTGTGTGGAGCCTTTTTGATAGTGGGAGATGCCCAGTCCCGGGTAGATGATCATTTGATGGGAAAACAGCACATGGGCTATGCCAAAATTAAAGCTACTGTAGAAGAATTAAAAGTAAGTTTCTTATAAGCATATATTTTAGCTATACCTAGTACTTTATATTAGTGTGGTTAAGAATTGATTGTATAGATTTAAAACTCTAATTGATATTTTTGCTGTGTTATTTGAAGTAGTGATAATTCCTATAATATTTAGCTATTTATCAGATTAGCAAAGTGCTTTATTTTCTTTGCTCTGTAGTGTCAGGAATTTGGGAGAAGGAATATTCCTGAGGGTTTAGTCAAATATCTTCTATACATACATGGTGTTAAGATTTCTCCATTTCACTTTTAGGGTATCAAATTTCATAAGTTGGTCTACAGTTGATTCATGTTAGGCAGCTGTTTGACAATGTCATTAAGGTTATTTAGTTCTTAAAAAAAATCAAATTTGATTTCCTTAGGAAAAATTAAGAAAAAGAACTGAAGAACCTGATCGTGATGAGCGTTTAAAAAAGGAGAAGCAAGAACGAGAAGAAAGAGAAAAAGAAAGGGAGAGGGAAAGAGAAGAGAGAGAGAGGAAAAGACGAAGAGAAGAGGAAGAAAGAGAAAAAGAAAGAGCTCGAGACAGAGAAAGAAGAAAGAGGAGTCGATCAAGAAGTCGGCATTCAAGCCGAACTTCTGACCGAAGATGCAGCAGGTCTCGGGACCACAAAAGATCACGAAGTAGAGAGAGAAGGCGAAGCAGGTATATTGAACACATAAGACAGTGCCAGGCATATAGTGAAAGTGTTAGTTGCTGAGTTGTATCCTACTCTTTGAGACCCTGTGGACTGTAGCCTGCCAGGCTCCTCTGTCCATGGAATTCTCCAGGAAAGAATACTTGGAGTCAGTTGCCATTTCCTCCTCAAGGGGATCTTTCTGACCCAGGGATTGAACTGGGTCTCCTGCATTGCAGGTGGATTCTTTACCTAGTGTCTGAGCCACCATAGTGAGTGTGCATGAAATAATAGTAATTACTGGTGAATTACTTGGTACTTGGGACCCTCTTAAGTCTCATTAAGCACTTGGGCGGATGAGAGTTGACTCATTGAACCAGTTCATCTTGTAGGCAACTTCACTGCTACTTTTAGGTCGCCTAAGGAGATTTGATGCAGTCTCATTAGGGAGTTAGTATAATGGATGAGTGCTTCTCTTATTGATTACAAGACATTTAAATCATAAATTATTTTGGGTAGGATTACCTATTTGAAAAATTGAAGTTAAGGACTTTCAATTTTCAGTTCTTAAGGTTTCTTATATAAATGTGTTTTAATAGTAGATTGTATTCATTTGCCTTTAAGAGTGATTTTTGCTTTAAATAACAGTATGTAATTCTTCAAGGTTTTTTGTCACTGTAATATCAGCTGAAGTTGCTCTCCTTTTGTTTCAAATTATTTAAGAAGTAGAGATCGACGAAGAAGCAGGAGCCATGATAGATCAGAAAGAAAGCATAGATCTCGTAGTCGGGATCGAAGAAGATCAAAAAGCCGAGATCGAAAGTCATATAAGCACCGGAGCAAAAGTCGAGACAGAGAACAAGATAGAAAATCAAAGGAGAAAGGTTAGTTTTTGTGAGAATTTGATTCTTTAAGGGGCCATTTTCACTTTGTCTCCTCACTAACTCACTTTTCTTTAGACACAAGCAGAGTTCCACTTCAGGCTATATTTATTTTTACTTTCGATGAACCCCATTCAATAGGAGACAAGTCTTTATTGTCCCTTCTCCTGCTGATTTATGAGAATGACAGTTGACTTTGTGTTTTCTTAGAACATGTTAAAGTTGCATATTTCAATTATATCTTCAAGGCGTATCATTTAGATTTTTCCAAGTATTGCATTACCTGTTAGGATTATTAGGCTATAGAATTCTTGGTTACTGCAACATTTTTTATTATTATTTTTTTTGACAACACTTGCTGCAGTGTTCCATAATATTTTGAAGAGTAAATGTACGGTATTGCATTGGTCTTCAAGTACAGCATTTATAGTACTTCTGAGTTTGCATAAGTTGAATGCCTTATATGTGCGTGCCATGCCCCCTCCCCCCCAGTGTGCCCCTTTTTTATTGAAACATGCTTTTTCCCATCTATTTTTTCCTTTGATTTTCTGTGGCATTCCAATAGCTGGTTGACTGCACTCTTAATCGACTTTTCATTTTCTCTTTGGCATGTTTTCACATTCTCATCTTTCAACTTAGCCTTCATTGAACGATGAACGATAATTCTTTTAATCATTAGGGTCCCATTTCTGCATATTCTTCAGATTCTTTGTACACCTGTTTTTTTTTTTTTTTTTATTTGGACTGGGCTATTCTGCTTTGCATGGTTTTCAGGAATGAGAGAAAGGGCTTATTTCTAATTTTCTTGGCTCTGCTTATTCCATCCTGTTCTGCCTATCTGTGTCCATGTTTGATCACCAACATGTGTGCTCATGTACGGATTTATTATATTAGACCTGTATATGATACTCATTATTTTCTTTTATGAAACTAGTCTGGTTTTTGTGGGGTTGACTGAGTTGAGTTAGGAAACCAGCACAAACAATGGATTATCTTTTTTGTTCCTTCTTTCATCAGCTTTTATTTTTCCTCAAATAAGTGCACCTTCTCTTTTTAAAATATTTAGATATATTGGCTTTTTCTAGAACATGGAGCAAATGTTAAAAAGTAGGAAATGGTGATTTTTAAAACTTCCATGAGCTTTAGTATCTGCCATTTAAGTTCAGAAGTTATTTTTGTGATTCAAAAGGCAATTGATACCAAGAATTAACTGACTTTTATTAGTTTTTAAGTAAGCTTCACTCAGCCTTTTGGCAAGACTTTCTGTATAATGTATTTGGGGGGTCAGCTCTCAACAACCAGATATATCTCTTGTCAGAGATGAAAGTAATCACTTTGAGAATTAAAGCTCTTCACTGTATCTTCATTTGTGTCACTTAAAATACTTGGATTAGTTCTCAGGGACAGAAACTAGGCAGCTTTTATAACTATTTAGGATCAAAATTGAGCTATAAATTGCACTGGCCTGACTTGAACAGTTTGTGTAATTTTTGGAGAGAGCAGAGAGGATGAATTGCCAAGCTATGATCCTTATTACAATGATGACATCATAGAATATAATCAGACTTGTTTACATAAACTGCATTGTGTTTAGATTATGGACAAATGGGTTTTCCTGGTGAGATGTGGAGGAAGGAGTGAAGACTTGATTCAGGGAAAACTCTGCCTCTGGTCTATCTTGACAGATTGGGTTTGCCATTGTAGATTTATTTTAAATGTTGGGATCTCTTTTAAAAGTGGCATAATTTATTGATTTTTTCAAATAACCATGTGGCCAGTTAGCCATTCTTATATATATAACTGAAGGCCTGAACTTTGAGGTCAGATATGAGTAGTAGTGAACATTGGAAATGACAGTGAGTAAGAGGGAGCCCACGTGCTGTAATGAAAGCACTTCATCACTCCACAAACAAAAAGTGGTTTCTTGCACAAAACTATCTTTGTTAACACCAACCAGTTTAGGGTGCTCTCTTTTGTCAAGAGAGGTTCCTTTTTTAATCCATAGCCCTGAAGTCCACCACACTTTGTGGATGTCCTTAGGACTATTAAGATCTACCATATTTATATAGGGCAGAAGATAAGATTATTGGACTGACTACTAGTCCTCTACGGGGCAACAAGACGACTCTTCCTCATTGAAGCTACCTGTGCACCGGAGAAGCCCATAAGGCACAAAGGGAGGACTTTCCCACAAGGTCAGTTAGAGCACACTGTACTGGCACAGTTCTCATAAGTGAACAGACAAGACATGAAGCAAGTCCTGCAGTCAGCTACTTGGACATTGCTTTGTGAATTTTGCAAGTGTTATGGACTGAATATATTCCTTCACATAAGATCTTCAATTCTTAATGTTCTTTGAGTGAGTGCCCCCCAACACCCCCATAAACATACTTTTTTGTTACCATCCCTCTCCCAGTTATTTGATGTTGTGTCTTAACAACTTTGTCTAGAATCTGTAGAGGGTTCCGCTTCTCTTAAAACATCTTTCTGTCTTATCAACTATTCTGTTAGACTAGCTATTCTTAGTTTTAAAGAGAAAGATGATTTTTCCAGGTTTGTAGTTTGCTTTAAAATTTTCTGTAGAAATCTTTTGTTAGGCAGTACTTGGAACTGACAAAGCTAGAACATAACTTGCTCCATGTACCACTTTTTGCCTCTAGTCTCTAGTTTGACCATTCCAAAGAAAACAGAAGGAAAATTTGACCTTTTTTCACCCTTTATTTGCAGCTGAGGTGAATTTTTATTTCTCTCTTTGGAAAAAATAATTTTGAGATGGCGTATGTGTTACTTAGCGAAGCACAAAATTTCAGTAATTGAAATGGGATTTAAGATCCATTTTGATTGGTGTTGTCCCTCTTGGGTCTTCAAATATATTATAGGTATAAGTCATCTTTTGCATTTAAAAATATATAGTTGCAGAAGCATGCCTATAAATGTTCACCTTTTGCAGTTACTGTTTTTACCTTTTAACTCAGTTCATTTGAACAGTTTTTTGTACTATCTTTCTTGCCTTTCTCTTTGCCTTTTGATGGTCTTTACTCCAAATGAAATTTACTTAACTTTTAGATTCTGCAGTGATTTGGTGTTGCCTGTGCATATCACCAGTTTGAGAGAATTTGCCCACTATTTTTACCTTTTGCTTTCTGTAATTCCCTGTCCTGCCCTCTCCCTCCTTTATAAATTGCAAATTTTATCCCTTTGATAGATTTATCAAACTGTGTTACTTGAAGTCTGTAGGAAATGATTGTCTTTTCATCTCTAAATTGTTTTCACTTTTCAACGTGTCATATATGTTTTGTATTTTACTTTAAAATCCATGATCAATGTCTTCTTTTATGGCAGAAAAGAGGGGATCTGATGATAAAAAAAGTAGTGTGAAGTCCAGTAGTCGAGAAAAGCAGAGTGAAGACACAAACACTGACTCAAAGGAAAGTGATACTAAGAATGAGGTCAATGGGACCAGTGAAGACATTAAATCTGAAGGTGACACTCAGTCCAATTAAAACTGATCTGATAAGACCTCAGATCAGACAGAGGTAAGTGTATTGTTTCTCACTTTGATTAGGGCTTTTTGTTACTGTTTGACAGTGCAGCGTAAGTATGCACAGATGAAGATGGAACTAAGCCGAGTAAGAAGACATACAAAAGCATCTTCTGAAGGAAAAGACAGTGTAGTCCTGCAAAACATTTTGAGGTACATTGTTTTGTCTCAGCTATTTTGTAGCAGACTCGTGCCCCCCGTTAGTGTGCCTCTTTGCAAATTATTGCCCACGTTTGTAATATAGTCGCCATTGAAAAGTTAATTATCCTTTTTTTAGGGATTTTGCTGTCATTTCTTGTTTTTTTTCTTTTTTTTAATAAAAAGGTTGAACTGTTTTTTATTTTTTTTCTTTTTGGTATTAAGTCCATCTTGTGTTGGTACATTGGCAGAGACATATGCTTTAAAACTTAAATATTTCTGAGGCACATGTTGGACTACTTTGTTTTAATTAAACTGCTAGTATTTCTTTGTCAAGGATGTTTCTAGTTTTTTGCTTTATTGCCTTGCATTCTAATGCAGTTTGTTCTGTAACTCGAGAGCCAGTAGCATTGGATTGATGGAAGTGTAGGGTTTATGAATTATTGCAGCTGACTACCATACCTCACACAGCGTTGGTGTTGTGAGCGGCCCATGAAAAGCCAAATTAAAAATCAAGGATTCAGTCAAACTAAGCAGGTACTCATGCCAGGTACTCCTTTCTCTACCCACATCCATGTTTGAATGCTATTGCCTGTGATCTTTACGCTTAACTGTTGTGTATCTTTTTGTTCTTTACAAGAAGCACAGAGGGGTTTTTTGTGTATTGCGTGAAAACTTATAAATCAGATGTTAACAGAATGGAATTTTTTTTCAACTGTGTGTAGGGATGCAGTGGTGCCCAGAATTAGATATCTTTAAAGAATTTTAAATACAATAAACACTTCATATTATTCGCCTTGTTACATTCAATGCAATTCTCAAGTCTTTAAGAGGTATGTTGTGTTTAATATTTCCTACTGTGTAGGAGAATTTGCAGTCAGCCATAGGTATATTAGGAATAATCACTGGCTGATACATTTAAAGCAGCAGTGAATAGCAAGGACAGACACCTTTAAACAGAAACACAAAGAACTGATGAACCATGTAGAATGAATTTGGGTTTTTAAAGAACTATTAAAAGTCAGTCTTTTTGAGGGTTCTTGAAACCTGTAAACTGTTCATTCTTTGGGCTAGTGGCATGGGATTCAATATTCCTAATGAAAGGAAGTACCAATTAGTTGAATTGTTGATGACCTTCCTTTTCGAGGATAGCAATATAGTGTTATATTTGTGTGAGCCATTCACATAGAGGCAAGCATACACAGGCACATGGTTTTAAAAAACCACACTGATGCCTTGATAATTGAAAAGAATACAAACATTCCATATACATATATTAATTAGCAGTTAGTGACTGGGCCACTTAGTCATGAAAATTTGCCTTATACATGTTGTCTAATTATCATTTTTCCGCAAATTTTGCTTTGTAGGAATACTGTTGGAAGATTTTTGGAAGAAAACTGAAAACGTCATAAAGTGAAGATCGACATTAAAATGAGGTGAAAGAAAACTATAGTGGCATAGAAAAAGTATAAAGCTCGGTTAGTTTGTTTGTTTTTTTTAATTAAAAATTAATTCAGGACTGATGTGACCTATCAGATTTCAGAACATGTATTAATAGCATATATATGCCACTGAAAACTTAGGTCCTGTATCATATCTTTTTCTTTAAGACTTTTTAAGAAATATTACCTAAACATGTGGCTTGCTCAGTGTTTAACTGCAAGTTTTCATTCTTGGGACTTTGAAAACGAGATTAAACGTTAATATTTGTGTGAATCAGACTAAGTGGGATTCCATTTTTACAACTCTGCTATACCTAGCCTTTGGATTTAGAAGTGAAAATAAAGTATCTCCGACTTTCTGTTACAGATTTGTCTCTTTGTCATTGAAAAGTTTTAGTATTAATTTTTTTTAAATAAAGTTATTGACTCTGAACTAGTCCCTTGTTTTAAATGAGATACGCTGTTACTAGAGATCTTGGTGTACAGTTTTATCTGATTTGTTCTGTTTAAGACTAATTTTTATAGAATTTCCACAGCTTAAATGTTTTAAATAATGGTGCTTCAATTTTTAGTAGTTATGAATACATTTGGATTTTGCTTTTAATAACAAAGATATACAATGAACTGGAATATATTTTTACATCCCTGAGAGATTTCTTTAGTAGTACAAAATTCAAAATATCCTCTGACAAACACTTATCATCCTCTAGCTGTGAAATAATGATGTAGAAAAGCATTCAGACACTTCTAGCTGTTTTTTTGTCATAGAAATCCTGTGTCAAGATTTTTTTAACCTGGTCTTATAAATATATTTATTTCTGTGTGTGGAGTGTATCACATCAAACAAGGATTTTTTTTAAATGCTTAAGGTAATAGGAGTGTGTGTGGGGGTCATGTTCGGCAAATTTGGCAGCACATTTCTAGCTATAGCCAGCTTGTCGATTGTATAAAAGTATTACTAGCTCCAGCTGCATGTGTCGTAGTTCATATAAATCAGTTCTTCATGATTTATAATTTTCAAATATTGCTATCAGTTTATAGGTAAACAAACTTGAGTTGGTGCATTAAGTGACTTACCTGATGTCTTATAACTTCATGTTGATGGAGAAACTAGCACATGGAATCTAGGTCTCCACCTCATGGTCCACTGCCTCACTTTATGCCACTGTAGTTGTTCTAATAGGCTTAATAATAGGCTACAGAATTTACTAAAATACCCTCCACCAAGCTTTGGAAAAATAATGATGCTTCAGAGGCTTTGTATGAAACAATGCTGTGGGGACAGCACTCCTGGCTTACCTAGATGGAGATAGACAGATTATGTCTGAATTTGTGAGGATTAATGTAAGATGGGAAAACAGTCTTAACAAAAAGTCACCTCCCAAGCACTGCTTTGTGTAGTTTGACAAGATATGGTTGTAGGATAAAGGTCATAAAGTGAAAGTTTACCAGTTTCTATTACTGAGTATTAAGAAAAACAGAAAACAGAAGTTTATTTAGGTATTAAGATACTTAGTCTTTAAGGTGTTAAATTGGGTATTAAAATGCCAAGCTTGTTCTCCTCTGCCTCATATAGAATCATTCGCTAATTTATTTTACTGAAGTACAGTAAATGAGTTTATGAAATCTTCATCTGTATGGATCACTAATGAAGTTGATATAAAGGTTGAGGGGGAGGCCTGGTCGCTTGAGGGGTCTATGCCTAAAGTCTGGCCTTGGCTGTGGAGATCTAGAAATTGGGTCACATCCAACATCCCAAAGTAATCAGGCTCAAGGAAATTATTCTTACTAACCAAACTCAGAAGAATCCCATGTAGTGGTCATGCGCCTGTTTACATTGAGAAATACACATTTCTCTGGTGCAGACCAAAAAGTCGTCAGTTGCTTCATGTGTATTTCTCTTTGAAAAGCCTTTAGGGGGAGTCGATTTGTACTAACTAGAAGATTAACTTGGTAAGACTGCAAGCAGCAATCAGTTTTTAAACCTTTTTTTATTTTGGAAAATTTAATGCAAAAGTAGGACAGTGTAGTTAACTTTGATTAACGTTCCTCTGCAGTAAGATTCAGTGACCATTTTTACTCTGTGTGTCCCCTGTCCCTGTTATTTTCAGGCAAGTCTCAGACATACTTAATTTACAAATGTTTCTGCATGTATCACTAAAAGACTTAAAATTTATTAATTTAAATAAATTGGGTAAACTTGAGTTCATACTGGTCTGGTGGGAGCCTGGTAATTGAGCCTGGTAATTGCTGTTCTGGCATCCTCCTCTTTGCAGGGTAGTGACACTCATCTTCACCCTTTTTGTTAAGACATCTTTTCTTCAAACAGATGATAATACAGTAACTTTTCAGGTTGGATTAAAACATCTTTCTTTCCTTCTTAAGCTAATTATGTCACCCAGCCTAGAGACACCTTCTTTCCTTACATAACATTACTTACCTGCAGGTGATCTGTCTGGTTTCTTCAATACAGTGTCACAGCCATATTTCTAAGGTGTGAGAACACTTTGACCACATGTGGGTTGAGTTCAGTCACTTGATTAAAAATTTTTAGAGATGTTAAAACTGAACAATTTAGGCTGGAAGTGTTCTTAACTGTGTCTGTTCTGTGCTTTCAAAAATGTGTTGTAGATGAGCTGTGTGAGTATTTTTTAAATGTGCATAAAATGAAAAATACTTGAACTTGTGTATATTTTCTGTGGGGTGGGACTTCCTGCAGGGCTGGTCTTCAGGTTTGAGTTTGGACTGATTTTTAGTTTATGAAAAAATCCCCAGGTGACTGCTTTTTAAGAATTTTGTATGACAGTTGTTACACTTGTGTATGGTTTGGAAAAACAACAGAAATGTTTTGTGATATGTCTCTTCTGCTCCTGCTCTTCCTTTCCAGGAGCTACTAGTGTTAAGAATTATTTTTCCAAGTGGTTTTTGTGGGGAGGTGGGTGGTGGGTGATGTAATCATTTATATGTATGAATCTTTTAAAATATATCACAGTACAGCATATTTTCTGAATCTTGCTGTTTTCACTCAGTGTATTTAGAAACATTTGAGACATAGGAGATAGCAATTTTAAGTTTAAAAATGTAGTTTCAAAAGTCCATTTCAGTAAAAGAAGTAAATGTATTTTTCATGGTTGTATTAGATTTTTTAATTTCCTAATTTAAAAATGCAGTTTGAGAGTCTCATAGTTGATCTGTTTCTTCCCCTTGGCCATCCCAAATAGATCAGTTGTCATCAGCTTTTAAAAATGTTTAGGAACAACAGCTTCAGAAAACAGTTGGGCACAACTGTGTGGTAACTTCTGGCTGTTCCATCCCGAGATACATACCCTAGAGAAACATTTATGCATGTGTGCCAGAGGATGGATGTAAAAATGTCATAGCAGCATCATTTGTAATAGGAAGAAAGGAGGAAGCAAAGCAAACTGGAAAGACTTGAAATGTCCAACAGACCAGGGGACACATGTTGTGGTATTTTCCTATAGTGGGATTCCAAGAAGTCAGACTGAACTACCGCTACACATTTGAACATGGAGAGTCTCTGGTCAGAAAAGCAAGTTGCAGAAGAATTATCCAATTCCTTTTCTGTGAAAGTCAAAACCAGTCCGTAAATATATGGTAAATGGAAAGCAAGGAAATGATTTAACACGATTCAGTGTATTGGAGGGAGATCATGAAGGGCAAGATGGATCCTTCAGAAGAACTGGTGGTGATTGTTGAAGCTGGGTGGGTGGTTTCTTTTTTAAACTGTATGTGTATGTGCTTTTGTATGTATATTTCTTAATAAAATTTAAATTTTAAAAAATGGGAAAAGGTCTTGATGTAGGTAGTAAGTAGTAAAATAGATACATAAACAGTGTATTTCATGGAATTAAAGTGATAGCAGGTTTAAAGGGTATTGTTTCTCGAGTTCTGGACTTAGGGTCTTAATTGTAGTCTTTAAAAGCTAGAAAAAGGGCCTCCGTGTATGTTTTCTTTGTGATACATTATTTTTATCTTGATGTAAGTTTCATTTGGGTGTCTGCCAGGAAACTGGTTCTGCTTCTGTATAAGCAGCTTCCAAGGAAGCTTTTTCTCTCAGATTTATACCAGTCTAGGAAGGAAAACTGCCATTCTCCTGACCCATGGTTAACACATCCTTCCCTTTGTTCAAGTTACATTGTCACCTCAGAGGGGCTACTCTTGGTCCTTGTTTTACTCTTTAGAAGGACTTACATGAAGTGTTTAAATAATGTTTGCTCTGTAAAGGGGAAGTGGTTGAAATTTGAAAGGCACCTTGTTCAGTTCAGTCACTCAGTCGTGTCCGACTCTTTGTGACCCCATGAACTGCAGCACACCAGGCCTCCCTGTCCATCACCAACTCCCGGAGTCCACCCAAACCCATGGCCATTGTGTCAGTGATGCCATCCAACCATCTCATCCTCTGTCGTCCCCTTCTCCTGCCCTCAATCTTTCCCAGCATCAGGGTCTTTTCAAATGAGTCAGCTCTCCACGTCAGCTTCAACATCAGTCCCTCCAATGAACACGCAGGACTAATCTCCTTTAGGATGGGCTGGTTGGATGTCCTTACAGTCCAAGGGACTCTCAAGAGACCTCAACAATAACACACTTAAAAAGCATCAATTCTTCTGCACTCAGCTTTCTCTATAGTCCAACTCTTATGTCCATAACATGACTACTGGAAAAACCATGGCCTTGACTAGAGTACATAAAATTCATGTAGCTAAAAGGCCTTGTATCAGTTACCAGTGGCCCTTGTACACTTCCAAATATATACCCCAAATCACTTCGTTATATGAACCATAAGCATTCTAGACCATTTCTAAATATGTTCTGGAAATCTTTTTAGGATAGCATTCTGGTAACTTGATTTGTTTCAATGACTTGAAAATGACATAATCCTACAGTGGAATTGTATGTCACCCAGAAATTAAGTTTTTACAATCTGTGCATGAAATACATAATAATTATTCTTGGGACTTCCCTCCCAGTTTGGTGGTTAAGACTCTGTGCTTCCACTGCAGGGATGAGTTTGATCCCTGGTGGTGAGGGAGCTACGATCCCTGTCCCGGGTAGTGTGGCAAAAAATAATTTTTTTCATTAAAATTACTTGACACTTGAGATATTTAATCTTCAGCCTTAAAACTGTCGCTTCTAGAAAATACATTTGATGCAGGTTGTATTAACTTGAAATGGTTATGCATATTTAATTTTATCAACCTTGTAATTGCTGTCCTTACTGATTTTTTGTACTTCACTAGGTGACACCTGTGCAGGTTCTATTGTAAGCTTTCCAACAGTACTGTTTTCAAATAAATTTATTCTACCATGTTCACTTAAAAGCAACCTAAAATCTTACTTTTCCACAAGCAGTGATTTGGGGCCATTAACCAATCTTCAGTCCATGCCTAAATTTATCTTCTTTGAGACAAATTGAAAATAACAGGGACAAAGCACTTGGGGATTGACCCCTTGTCATCCCCTGTCACACCCCTGGCGATGGAACACCAAGCTCTGGGTGGCATTGGCTTTCATTAGGGGGCATGCTATCTTACAAGTGTGACTTGAATGCCAGACTTACATTTGGTGCTGAGGTTCTCCTAACCAAAACCCCATGGGTACTAAGTAAACTGCAGATTTAGGTTTCATACTCATTTCATGAGTAAAATGGTACACATTTCACTTGCACTATTCAGAACATTTTCCTTTTTTTTTGGCAGTGGGTGAGATAAGTGTTGATGCAATGCGTTAGTGTCCCTTCACCCTTCATCAGAAGTGAGCTGTTGAGGATTTGGAGATGAGAGAGGGATGGCTTATTTCATTGTGCTTACCTGGGAGGTCTCTGGTACTTTTTCCTTGATTCCATAAGGGTTAGAGATGACTTTACATTGGTGTGTAAAAAAGTGTGTATTAATGAAAGTTGGTAAATGGAGTCAGGCAGGAGTGCACTTTCAATGCTGTATGCTGTGCCTTGGCTTTTCTGTAAGTTGTTAGGTTGAAAAGTGTTTACTCAAGTTGTGTAAGTCCTGCCATTTAAAGGTTGTTGCTATGAGCCGTGTATGATGCCAAGATTCTTGACCTCCGGGCCAGTGGCAAGGCTTGATCGCTCAGAGCTTTTGTGTAATAAAGTTTTATTAAGTATAAAAGAAAACTTCTGACGCAGAGATCAGAAAGGGGCAGAAAGAGTGCCCTCTTGCTAGGTTTTAGCAAGAAGTTACATAAGCTGCTACTTAGAGAAAAGAAATATCTCAAAACTCAAGAGAGTGGCACCAGACCCCTCACCCATAACATGCATTTTGAGATAGCATTGGCACAAGGTGAGTCATCCCGTGCGATAAGACAACTGACGTGAATCTTGAAGAGAGGCAGGTTTCTAAACAAATACATAGTTTTATTAACATAACTTAAGAGAACATTTCTATGAGTAAAACATACTAGTTTGTTGAGCCATTACTGGTTCTGAGTCTTAGGTGGAACCGACTTGAAGAAAGAGTCTAAAGTAAATACATAGTTCATTAACATAGCTTAAGCATTTCTCTAAGAAAAATACATTGGTTAGCTCAAGGTTTGAGAAAAGTTCAGGTGGAACCAGGTGTCATGACAACATAGAATTTTTAAAGAAACCTTTTAATTTTGTATAGAGAAGGAAAAAATTACATCTGACACTTGCTTCCTCCTGTTGCTTAAGAGAAAAAAAACGTCTGATGCTTGGGGACACCTAGTCTTCCTGCCTGTTACCCTCTCACCATTTTGTAGATTTAAAAGTTGTAAAAAGGAAATGATGGTAGGAGATGGTTTTAGAAGCTAGGATCTTTAAACCAGAGTGTCAAGTGGGTCCTGGCTTTCCCAGTTCCAATTAACTCACCCTGCCCTTAATGGAGTTGTGAACAGAGCCTGGCCATTTGTCTTGAGTCTCAGGAGTGTATACCTGTGCCTAATCAGGATTGGGGTGCAACTTTACAAACTAAACTTGCGTTGATAGGTATCGTACTTAAATTTTTAAAAATACTTAATATTTGTCAAAGTACTTTGAACGTACTCTACTCCCAAGCCTCGAGAAGTTGCAAAAGGAAAAGTACATACATGAAGTTAGCAAACTGTTAGATGCATCCAGATCATTATTTACAAAATATTGATTCCAGTTTTTCATTTCTGCAATTTAATACGTCATTTTTGCAGCATTGCTGTTGTAGCAGGGCTTCTCTAACAGAGATGGTGTATATTCTGTCAGTTCAGAGCTTCCATCTTTCATTAAAATGAGTTCTACTTCCTGAAAGTCCTGTAGTCTTTGAATGTCTTTGTCCTTAATATGAAAAAGAAGTTACATAATGGTTCATAAATATATGTAAAGTTATGATGAAAAGGCTTAATAAGATTGCCCCAGCATTGTTCTCTTTCCATTCATGGTAAACTAAGCAGTTAAGAATTGTTTTCTTTTTCTGTTTTTGTTTTTGTGTTTCAGACCTTGTTGCTGATTTCCAAGGGGAATAAAGTCTCAATTTTAAAAAGACTTTAGTCCAGGGCATTAAAAATATATATCTGAAAGTATGATCATCCCACCACTTTTAGTTTACAAAGAATATACTGTTAGCCACGGCACCAATAAGAATTGCTAAAAGGCATTTTGAAAGTTGCTTTTTAAAAAATGCCCAAAGAGATAAGAATTTTCCTCAAGTTAAAAAATGAGATTTGTTTTTGAATCATAAAAATACAAACAAATGCCCCCAGTTTTGTTTCCTGAGATTGCAAAGGCTTGACTTTGCTAAGCAGTTAAGAGTGGCTTTGTATTTTCTGTCCCCAGGACCAGTCAGCTTTGTGGAGATTGGAGGCTGGCCATACATACTGAGCTAGGGTTTTAAATTTGGTTGTTAGTTGTAATTCAGACAATTTAAAAGAGTAAATTAAAGGTATAGAAATCTGTAAAAGCACCAGATTGAAAATAACCCAGCTACCATGTTTGGCTGTCCTGCAGTTAAAATGTCCAATGTCTTGGATTTGTTTTCATATTAGTAATACAAAAGCTAGTGATCGGCTTCAGTGAACATAATTTTACCCACCTAGAGCCCAGTCTCTATTTAGATAAACACCCTACCTTTCTGAGCAATGTGTTTGGTAGCTTTCTGATCTTCTCTACTTGCTCTGGGTTAATCCCCAGTTCACAGCAGCTTACTTTCAGTAGATTTTGGTAACTCAGCTCTTGTCTATCCAGTTCAACTTCAATGAAGTCATTTTCTTTGTGGCTCTGAATTCTGATTTTAAGTACCAGCTCTGGATCACCCACAAATATTTTGGTAAAAGAAACAAAATACCCATTTTAGACATCAATTATACAAAGAGCTGAATAATAAAATAATAAAAGGCATATATAAACTTTTAATTATCTGAAACTTTGATAGGAATGCTGGGCAAACTCAGGTGTATACCCCATTATACTCATCAAAAGGCAGTGTGAAGCCAGGGTCTAAAAAACTCAGTGTGTGACATGCAGTACCCTTGGCAATACATCTGTGTTGCGTGTGCCTTGTTGGGTGTGCTTTGTTGGCTGTTTGAAAAGTTTCAAGAAAATGTGAGCCCTGGGGCTCTGTATTCTTAAGGGTGCAGATCATCCTGTTGATTCCTGTTGGATTCCCTGGGACCTCCAAGGTGAGAGGCGGATAAACAGGATAATTCTACCATCTTTGAAGACATCTTTGCGTTTCCCTGGTGGCTCAGCTGGTAAAGAATCTGCCTGCAAAGTGAGAGACCTGGGTTCGACCCCTGGGTTGGGAAGACCCTCTGTCACTCCCGTATTCTGGCCTGGAGAATTACATGGTCTGTATAGTCCTTGGGGTCGCAAAGAGTTGGACATGACTGAGCAACTTTCACTTTTCACTTGGAGACAGTGGCATTGGTTTTAAGTCTTAAAACTTAATTGTCATAAGAAGGAGCAGTCTTGACTAAAGGTGGAGGAAGTTGATGAAGCCAAATGATGAAGTTGGCTTTGCAACATGACCTAGGGATTGAATCCTCACCTAGGTAGGTGTCATCAGGTTTGGCATGATCACCTGGGTCAGTTGGCGATTGTTGATTTGAGCTTCCTTGTTTATATTCGCCTGAGAAAGAATTGGAGGAGACGTGAGAAACAGCAGCAGCTCAGCATTTAGCTCTGCTAACTCTGCCAATTAGACAAGGGACAATAGAGCCCCATTGCCACTTTCTGCTCTGCAGCTCCTCACAGGAAAAAACTCAAAAAGGGCAGTTATTATACTCAGACTTGAATAGGAATTTTCCTTTACTGCTTAAATCATGAAAAGGAACTGAGATAGTATTTTTAAATGGTATGTAATCTGAAGAAGAAATATTTATAATCTGTGTGCTTAACTTGTTTCTACTTATTTGGCATTGAGAGTTTTGTGTCTAGATCTTTAGCAGAGTTGTACAGTTAAGAGAGTCCCTTAAATAAGGAGAAGTTTCTCAACTTGAGGGAAGGAAAAGGAGGGAACATTAGAGCATCCAGGTGCCAGGCCTTTTACATAGAATATCTTCCCAAGGCTACTCTGTGCTGTGCTAATCCCTGGGGAAATGATTCAAACAACAATTAAAAACCCAAAGTGACCTTTGTGCTGGTGTTTACAACAGGAGAGAGAGATTAATCAGGTGACCTCAGGTAAATGTGATATTACAGTTGGAGGCCTGGTGAGATCAAGATACAGAGTAGTGTGAAAAACCTGGAAAGGGGTCAAGAAAGACCTCCCTGAAGGCTAAGTGACCTGACATCTAAAGGTTGAGTAAGCTTAACTAGATCCAGAGGGTGGAGAGAGAAGAGCTTTTCAGGGCCTGGTAACAGCAGAAGGCCCAGTGCAGCGAGGCAGTGGTTCTTTAGAAAGAAAAGCAATTCAGCATGGCTGAGTGTTTCAGGATTGTAGGGTTATCTACCAACCTCTGCCACCCAATCTGTGGTTGTTAGTCACGTGAATTGGGATATGCTCTAAGCATAAAATACGCACTGGATTTCAAAGACAGGAAAAAACGTAAAGTTCTTTTTAATTTTTAATATTGATTTTATGTTGAAATAGTTTTAATTTATTGGGTGAAGTAAATGTATTATAATTAATTTCACCTGCCTTTTTTTTTTTTCCCTCAAGAATGGCCCAGGGACCAGCAACATCAATGAAACCTGTGAGATGACAGAAAATCAGAATTTGGGGCCCTATCCCAGGTTTACTAAATCAGAATCTGAATTGTAGCAACATACCCAGATGACTGACATGTATATTAATGTTTAAGGAACACTGTTTTATATTAAATTGAGCTTCTGCTTTTGTAGGTGTTTGTAGCTGTGTATGTATGGGCTTCCCAGGTGGCTCAGTGATAAAGACTTCATCTGCTAATGCAAGAGATGAAGGAGATGCACTTTGAATCCCTGGGTAGGGAAGATCCCCTGAAAAGAGGAAATAGCAACCCATTCCAGTGTTCTTGCCTGGAGAATTCCTTGGAGAGAGGAGACTGGTGGTCCATGGGGTTGCAGAGGGTGAGCATGCATGCATGCATAAGTGTATGTGTGTGAGGGGCAACAAGGAAGGAAAGGAAGGGAAGAGGGTCAGGGCCCGAGGTGGGGGTGGGCAGGAGAGGCAGGGAGAGAAAAAAAATGACTCAGTGATTGATTCCAGGCTGGAGCTAATGTGTTGGTCCTTCAATGGACTGGAACCTGGTGGTCCGGAGTCGATGATAAGAAGTAAGAGAGAGAAAGAGGCTGATAGCGCTTGTTGGTCCTTTAAGAGACCGGAACCTGGTGGTCCGGAGAGTAAGAGAGAGACAGAGGCTGGTATCCCCTGGTTTACACAGAAAGCCAATAGTCCTGTTCTTAGGGCTCGAGCTGCCCTCTCGAGTGGGTGAAGGCACAGTGTGCCTTCTCGAGAGGGGCTTAGAAGCCCGGGCAAGAAAGTGAGCTCAGCGGGCCTCCACACTCCAAGGAATTAGCCAGAAATAGAGAGATAGAAAGAAAGAAAGGAATAGAATGAAAGAAAGAAAGACACGGGGACCAAAGCTCTGATGGAGCAAAGGTGTCACCTGCCTTTTCAATCTGGCTGCAAGAAAAAGTTTAATTACCTATGTGGCTTGTGTGCTAAGTCGCTTTAGTCTTGTCTGACTCTGTGCAATCCTATGGACTGTAGCCCGCCAGGCTCCTCTGTCCTTGGTATTCTCCAGGCAAGAATACTGGAGTGGGTTGCCGTGCCCTCCTCCAGGGGATCTTCCCAACACAGGGATTGAACCTGTGTCTCTTAGGTCTAACCTGCTTTGGTAGGTGGGTTCTTTACCACTTGTGCCTTATGTAATATTTTAATTGGACAGTGCTGCTGTGAGTGAAAGGTCTTTATTCTAGAACAGCGTCAGGCCGTTTGACAGTGTTCAGGAGAAGACTATCATAATCAGACTTGCATTTTGGAAAAAAGAATCAACAGAAACCTCATTGGCCTCACAATAATCCCATGGGGTATAGGTATCATTCCCATTTTAAGACAAGAAAATTGGGGCTGAAGGATAAAGTAACTTGGAGTTTGCTCCAGGAAATGGCAGGACCTGGATATGACCTAGTTAAGAGGAAAGTGAAAAGAAATTGTTAGTCATTCAGTCATGTCCAACTCTTTGTGACCCCATAGACTGTGGCCCTTTGCGATTCAAAAGGCCTGGCACCTGGCATCTGTCCATAATTCTCCAGGCAAGAATACTGGAGTGGGTAGCCGTTTCCTTCTTTCTTCAGGGTATCTTCCTGACCCACAGATTGAACCTGGGTCTCCTGCAATGCAGGCAGATTCTTTATTGTCCGAGCCACCAGGGAAAATGTGGCCCAGGGCAAAATGGCTACCCAAAGAATTGCAGCCTCCCCACAAATGCTGTTACCTGGATAGGGGTGGCTTGGGGCCCCTGCCTCTTCCCTGCCCGGTGGGCCTCAGAGCATGCCCTGCCTTGACCACCTTTTGCTTGAGTCGCTGCCGGTTACAAAGGCGACAGAGGAGTGAGGGGCTTTGGTGGAGGTTGGAGTGTGATGGGCTGAGAGAGGGGAATCACACATTCGAGCCACAGCTCCCGGTCTCTCAGCAGGTGCTCCATTGTCCCATCTGATTTGGCTTACAAAACAAACTCAAAATTATAAGAAATTTCAAGCCAACAACCACAGAGCACTTAATCCCCAGCGTGAGGTCTGTCTGCATGTAGGACTCTGCACAACTGCTCTGATCTCAGGCCCATTGAAGTCAGTTCTGCTTGGGGCTTAAACTGTACTCTTTCCACACTGCTAAATGCTTCTCCCAAAGATAAGATAGTCTTGCCCAGTGCAGCTCTCTCCCAGGACAGAAATAATGTCCCTGTGCCCTTCTACTCTAGTCGTGGAGGGAGCTCCGTGCTGATCTGGGAGACTGAGTGACCCAGACACCTGAACTGGAACAATGCCCTTCTCACCCCTTCACTGCTCACTCTACACAGCATGAGATGTCCCCCACCTTGCCCTACCACGTGCAAAAGCATTTCATTTTTGTGATGAACCTGTGGATGGACAGGGTTTCTTAGAGATCAGAAAGCATGCTCTTTGAAGTCTGGAAGATTTGGATCTGAATTTTTCCTATGCTATTTAGTAGCAGTGACACCGTAGAGAAGTCACTTAACCCTTCTGAGCCTGTTTCCTGATCTGGAAAATGGGATTAATAATTTCTACCTCACAAGATTATAAGAAGGAATGAGAAAATGCACAGAAAATACAACCACTCCTAGTGTGTACTGAGCACCAGTATTTGCTGGCTGCTATTATTAATTATAGCCATTGATACTTGCCTCCCTCTGAAAGGACCCATGGCCTACTTGCTCTGCTCTTGACTACACCACTGGCAGAGTGGAGAAGGACACCCCACCCCTCCTTAGGCCCCTCCCCTATCCTTGACAACCATGTTGGAAACAGGGTTTAAAGACTCACCTGAGGGCTTCTTCACATCCAGTTGGGGTTCAGCCATGAGTAAGTTCTATGGTCTGTCAGATCAGCAGCCCCTCCAGCATTTATTCTGAGATTCCAATCAAATAAAAGGCATGTTTTAAATCTTCAGTGCATCTGTCTGCTTTGAAACTATATGTTCTTGTCACTGGCCAGTGAGATAGGGCAGGGTTGGCCTGTTTTACAGATAGGCAAACTAAGGCTGTAATGTATCGTATGACTTGCACAGGATGCTGCAACTGAAGGGACTGAAATTCAGTGCTCTCTCCTCTCAGCCTGTGTCCATGGGGAAGCAGTGCAGGCTAATAATGCCACCTAAAGGCCCCTGAGAGGGGAGGTCTTTGGGGGCACAGCCGTCCTTGGGAAAGGTTAGTAGCTACTACCTCAAGGGATAAGAAAAGTCAAACAGTATCTTGAACAGACTCCCTCTCCTCCCCAATTCTCTCTTGCCTTTGTCCCAGCACCTTCTTCATCTGTGCATGACAAGAAAGCAAGAACACCTGGGCACATACCTTGGGAGACTCCTCTTTGGCAAGGATCCTGAGTCCTTGATTCCAAACATCAAAATGGTGAAGGCAGGGGCTGGAGCAGGAGGTTTTATGAAGGGTGGGTGGGGCTGGGCAAAGTCCTTGGGCAGGGCTGCAGTCTCAAAGGGCTGAAGGTAGGAACTCACATATTTGGGATGACTCTCCCAGTTCTTTGAACACCAGTGTCAGAAGTGGCATCAGGTGGGGCTCATTATCATGAGGCTAGAGGCAACCGAGGAGATCAGCGCCCATAGGTTTCTCAAAGCGAGCTGTACATTGAAATCACCTGCAAAGCGTGATGCGGGTGTCGGGATTCTACCCTCCAGTGAGTCCTGTTTAATTTGTCTGGGGTGTAGTCTGGGCCCTGAAATTTTAAGAGCCCCCCAGCTGATTTTAATGTATGGCCAAAGCTGAAAGTTTTGACCAAACTGCTTAAAGTGCAAATTGGGAAATGGAGACCCAAAGTATACAAATGCTCCCTGATAGTCACAGGGGCAGCTGAGCACAGGCCTGGGGCTGGATCTGGGTCACTTTGTTGCCAACCTGATGCTGTCTCCTCAGCATGCCTGGTGTCCTTCTGCCAAGAATGCAGGAGGCCCCACCCTGGGCAGAGAGAAGGAAGCAGCAGGGTTTCACCTGGCTTGACCTCCTAAGGGAGGGGAAGAAAATGCACTTTGGCCAGCCCCGCTGCCAGGGTGTGTCACCCTTAAACAGAGCCACCCTCCACCCCTCACCTGAGTGGATGGGGCTGTGAAGGTAGAGAGACTGGGGATAAAAGTGCTTGTGCTTTGAGGGGGAGCCTCTTGCATCCCCAATGTCCCCATGTCACTTGCTTGCTCTGTTCATACACTTGCCCACTCCCCATTCACTGGTTCACTCATTCATGCATTCTCTCAACAATACTCACCTTTTCTTGTTTTGGGGAACCTTCTTTTTTCTTTATTTATTGATTGAACTGTGCGATTGTGGGATCTCAGTTCCCAGACCAGGGATTGATTAACATCTCCAGGCCATGGTAGTGAAAGTCCAGAATCCTAGCCACTAGGCCACCAGGGAACTCCCTTGTATTTTTTTTTTTAATTAAGTAAATACATGCTCTAGAGTAAAAGTCTAGTGTTAAAAATCAGAGCCTATTAGCAAGTAAGAGTGAAATGTTTGGAGGCAGCCACACAGGCCTGGGCATGAGTCTTTTTTCATTCATTATGTTGGGCAGTTAAGGGACCCTTCTATTTAAATATTAGCTTTTGTTGGGGGGATTGGGGGGTAGTTTTTAATTTTGATAGAGTTTTAAATTTACAGAAAAGTTGCAAGAATATATACCATTTACCAGTGATTAACAATTTGTCATATTTGCTTTAATTCTCTCTTCCTTGGTATATATATGCATGTGTATGTGTATAATAAACACACACACACACACACATTTCCCCCCTGAAATTTGAAAGTATGTTGTAGACATGCTCCTTTATCCCTTTATCCCTAAAGACTTCAGGCTGTATTTCCTAATATCAAAGGTATTCTCTTATATATTCAAGATACGAGGATCAAAATCAGGGAATCTAACTTTGATATAATACTCTTAGCTAAACCATAGTCCATACTCAAATTTTTCAATCAACCCAACAGTATCATTTTTAACGTTTTTCCCTGGCCCAGGGTTCCATTCAGAGTTATGCATCATGTTTAATTTTCATGTCTCATACATTAATCTAGAAATGTGCTTCAGCCTTTCTTTGTTATCCTAATATTGACATTTTTGAAAAGTCCAAGCGAGCGATTTTGTGGTTTGTCCCTTACTTGGGTTTGTCTAGTGTTTTGTTGTGATTAGGATCAGATTATGTGCTTTGGTTGGGATAGCACAGAAGTGGTATGTCTTTCTTAGCACATAATAATGGGAGGCACATCTTGGTTTGTCCCATCTTAGGGGATGGTGACTTCAGTCACCTGTGAAAGGAATTGTCTGCCAGGTTTTTCTATTGTAAAGTACGTCTTTTTTCCCTTTCTTAATTAAGATGTAACTTATGAGGAGGTACTGTGAAACCATACAGATATCCTATTCCTTCTTCAAATATCCTATTCCTTCCTTCACTCCAGTTTCCAGAATCCACTGAAGGTTTTACTTGAGTCAGTGGTTACTGTGATGATTGCAAAATGTTGATACTCTGGTTCCATTTTCCTTTCTACATTAATTTCTTATTCTACTATAAGAAAGTACTTTCCTTCTCCTTCACTCATTTATCATTTGTGTGGGCTCATGGATTCTTGTTTTATTCAGTGAGTTATAATCCATTATTCCCTTTATTTATGTTGGTGCTCAGATTATCCCAACGTGTACAGTGTCTACTTACAGCTATTTCCTATATCCTGTTATCCTTTCCCATATCCATCACTTTATGAGCACTTTCTTACTTCTTGGCATATCAACTTGTACTTTCCCTGCCTCAGCCCTGGAGTCCATCATTTCTCCAAGGAGCCACATTCTGTTCGTGGGGAACAGTATACTCATTCCTATGTGGATGCCAAGAAGAATGCTTCTAGGTCCTTTTAGTGGAAAGCTAGGGACACACATACACACATATGTCTGTACCTATTTCTTGTGTGTATATTAATCTATTAAATACAGCAAGTTCATACTGACACTTCTGGTTCCATTTAAAAACAAAAGAATTTTCCCTCGCTTTCTCCAATTCCATTTTGTAGTTCTTTTCCAACTCTGGGAAATCTGGCTCCTAATATCTTTAATATATTTACTCATTCTCTCAGGCTGACAATACACAGACCAAGTAGTTTCAAAATTGCTTATTTGAAATACAGTTGGATTGATTGTGTTTGCATTTTAGGATTCTTCCCAATCCTTATATATATACATATATATATTTTGAGTATATAGCTTGATTCTAAGAGTCAAAACTATTCAAAAATTAGGGTCGAGTCACTCAACATTTCCATGCTTTCCCTCTGTGCTCCTCTGTCCCCTGCAGGAAATTACATCCTCAGTTTCTGACTTCCGGTTTTTGATTTTGAAAAATCAAACAGATACTTGTGTATTTCCTTATTATTCCTTTCTTTTTTTTTTTTTTTATATTGTAGTGGTTTTTGCCATACATTGACATGAATCAGCCATGGATTTACATGTGTTCCCCATCCCGATCCCCTCTCCCGCCTCCCTCCCCATCCCATCCCTCTGGGTCTTCCCAGTGCACCAGCCCTGAGCACTTGTCTCATGCATCCAACCTGGGCTGGTGATCTGTTTCACCCTTGATAGTATACTTGTTTCAATGCTGTTCTCTCTGAACATCCCACCCTCGCCTTCTCCCACAGAGTCTAAAAGTCTGTTCTGTACATCTGTGTCTCTTTTTCTGTTTTGTATATAGGGTTATCGTTACCATCTTTTTAAATTCCATATATATGCGTTAGTATGCTGTATTGGTCTTTATCTTTCTGGCTTACTTCACTCTGTATAATGGGCTCCAGTTTCATCCATCTCATTAGAACTGATTCAAATGAATTCTTTTTAATGGCTGAGTAATATTCCATAGTGTATATGTACCACAGCTTCCTTATCCTGAGGAAGGCTTTCTTATCTCTCCTTGCTATTCTTTGGAACTCTGTGTTCAAATGGGTATATCTTTCCTTTTCTCCTTTGCCTTTTGCTCCTCTTCTTTTCACAGCTATTTGTAAGGCCTCCTCAGACAACCATTTTGCCTTTTTGCATTTCTTTTTCTTGGGAATGGTCTTGATCCCTGCCTCCTGTAGAATATCACATACCTCCATCCACAGTTCTTCAGGCTCTCAATCAGATGTAATCCCTTGAATCTATTTGTCACTTCCACTGTATAGTCGTAAGGGATTTGATTTATGTCAATGAATAGTTTAGTGGTTTTCCCTAGTTTCTTCAACTTAAGTCTGAATTTGGCAATAAGGAGTTCATGATCTGAGCCACAGTCAGCTCCCAGTCTTGTTTTGCTGACTGGAAAGAGCCTCTCCATCTTTGGCTGCAAAGAATATAATCAATCTGATTTTGGTATTGACCATCTGATGATGTCCATGCGTAGAGTCTTCTCTTGTGTTGTTGGAAGAGGGTGTTATGACCAGTGTGTTCTCTTGGCAAAATTCTATTAGCCTGTGCTCTGCTTGTATTCCAAGACCAAATTTGCCTGTTACTCCAGGTATTTTCTTGACTTCCTACTTTTGCATTCCAGTCCCCACTAATGAAATGGACATCTTTTTTGGGTGTTAGTTCTAGAAGGTCTTGTAGTTCTTCATAGAACTGTTCAACTTCAACTTCTTCAGCATTACTGTTTGGGGCATAGACCTGGATTACTGTCATATTGAATGGTTTGCCTTGGAAACGAACAGAAATCATTGTGTCACTTTTGAGGTTGCATCCAAGTACTGCACTTTGGACTTCTTTGTTGACTATGATGGCTACTCCATTTCTTCTAAGTGATTATTGCCCACTGCTGCTGCTGTTAAGTCACTTCCATCATGTCCAACTGTGCAACCCCATAGATGGCAGCCCACCAGGCTCCTCCTGGGATTCTCCAGGCAAGAACAGTGGAGTGGAATGCCATTTCCTTCTCCAATGCATGTGCTGCTTCAGTCGTGTCCGACTCTGTGCAACCCTATGGACAGCAGCCCACCAGGCTCCTCTGTCCACAGGATTCTCTAGGCAAGAATACTGGAGTGGGTTGCCATTTCCTTCTCCACTTATTATTCCTTTCTTATAGAAAAAGTGGTATAAAAATTATTTTCTATTTTGCTTTTTTTTCCACTAAACAATATATCTAGAAATCATTCCATATCAGTTCATAGATATCTTTCTCACCTTCCCCCTACCCTCTATAGTGTGGGGATTCTAGTTTATTTACCAAATTGTTTATGTACAGGTATTCAGTATGTTTCCAATATTTTGCAGTTACAAACAGTGATGTAATTAGTAATATTGTATCCATGTATTCTTTATTATTGGAGATACATATTCTTGGTAAATTCCTAGATGTGGGATTCATTGGTCAAAAGTAAACACAAACTTTTTGTTAGCTATTACTATATTTCCCTCCATGAATGTTTAACCATTTTTCATTCCTATCAGCCACATGTGAGAGCAACATCCACAGTGTTGTAAAGTTTTGTAATTTTTCCAATCAGATAGTAAGAGATAAAATGTAAAAAGGTAGGTTTTATTATTATTGAGGTATGGTGAGACCAACAGATCAGGAGACAACTGACATTGAAAAGATAGTTTGTTATAGTTCCAGAGAGGAGGAGGACATGCCATGCCACACAGGGCCACACAGAAAGGCCCCAGGGTTGGCCAGGAGGCAGAATGCGGGGGGAAATGTAGACTAGAGCCTTTTTTTCATGGGAAGTAGGAAATTGGCTAGCTGAGCGCTGGAGAATTGATGCTTTTGAACTGTGGTTTTGGAGAACACTCTTGAGAGTCCCTTGGACTGCAAGGAGATCCAACCAGTCCATCCTAACAGAGATCAGTCCTGGGTGTTCATTGGAAGGACTGATGCTGAAGCTGAAACTCCAATACTTTGGCCACCTCATGCAAGGAAAAGACCCTGATGCTGGGAGGGGTTGGGAGCAGAAGGAGAAAGGGACGACAGAGGATGAGATGGCTGGACAGCATCACCAATGCAATGAACATGAACTTGGACAAACTTCAGGAGATGGTGAGGGACAGGGAGGGAGACCTGGCGTGCTGCAGTCCATGAGGTGGCAAAGAGTCAGACACGACTGGGTGACTGAACAACAGCAGCAGCAGCAACAACAATGATTCCATCTGTTCTGCAAAGATAGAATGTAAGAGCTCTGTATCAGTTGTTACTGTTGTTATTGCTTCATAGAACCCTGGTTGGCCTTAGAGAAGCCAATTCAGACGAAAGTCTTGGGTGCCCACTGGGGTACAGGAGAGGACAGGGGCCTCTGTTTCTTCAGGGACAGTTCTGTTTACCAAAGACCCTTCATCCACTAGCACCACTTTCCCTCACCTGTTTTTTGTTATTTTTATTTTTTTTTTTTGCTTTACGTTTTATTTTATTTCTTAAACTTCTATTGTGTATTGGGGTGTAGCTGATGAACAATGTTGTAATAGTGTCAGGTGAACTGTGAAGGTGCTCAGCCATACATATACAATGTATCCATTCTCCCTCAAACTTCCCTCACATCCAGGCTGCCACATAACACTGAGCGGAGTTCCATGTGCTATACAGTAGGTCCTTGTTGGTTATCCATTTTTATTCATTTATTTATTTATTTTAAAGTGAAATGCATTTTTAAATTTTTTAATTTATTTATTCTTTGGCTGTGCTGGGTCTTCAGTTTCAGCATGGACTTTTCTCTAGTTGCAGAGAATGGGGGCTACTCATTGTTGCAGTGTTCCAGCTTCTCATTGTGGAGAATATCGTGGAGCTTGGGCTCTAGGTGAGTGGGGTTCCAAAGTTGTGGCACACAGGCTAGTTGCTCCCCGGCATGTGGGATCTTCCCATCCCCAGAATCATACCTGTGTCTCCTGCATTGACAGGCAGACTCTTTACCACTGAGCCACCAGGGAAACCCCCAGTTATCCATTTTAAATATAGCAGTGTGCACATGTCTGTCCATCCCAAACTCCCTAACTATTCCTTCCCCTAGCCTTCCCCCCACCTCCCCCTGGTAACCATAAGTTCATTCTCTAAGTCTGTCTCTTCCTATTTTGGAAGTCAGTTCATTTGTATCATTTCTTTTTAGATTCCACATAGAAAGGATGTCATATGGTATTTCTCCTCCTCTGTCTGACTTACGTCACTCAGTATGACACTCTCTAGGTCCATCCATGTTGCTGCAAATGGCTGTATTTCATTCTTTTTAATGGCTTTTTAATACTTTTTAACAGCTAGTTCCTTAGCTGTTTTGTTTGCTTCTAGGGGACAGAGGGTGCTATTGTGGCTATATATATATATATATATATTTTTTTTTTTTTTTTTTTTCCCACCACACCACCACACCCCCACCTTGGTCCTGGATTCAGCAAGAAGGCTCCCTTGAGATGCTGATCTATAGACAGCTGTCATAGATATAGTTGGCTGTTAATCCCCTATGGTGCTTGAACTACAGGAGTGTATGGGCAAGTAGAGTCCCAGAGCAGCTGCACAAAAAGGAGATTTTAATAACTTGTTAGGGTGGTGGTTTGTCTATTATGAGAGCTTCCCTGGTAGCTCAGCTGGTGAAAGAATCCGCCTTCAATGCAGGAAACCTCAGTTCGATTCCTGGGTCAGGAAGATCCCCTGGAGAAGAGATAGGCAACCCACTCCAGTATTCTTGGGCTTCCTTGGTAACTCTGCTGCTAAAGAATCTGCCTGCAAAGTGGGAGACCTGGGTGTGATCCCTGGGTTGGGAGGATCCCCTGGAGAAGGGAATGGCTACCCACTCCAGTATTCTGGTCTGGAGAATTCCATGGACTGTGTGGTCCATCCATGGGGTCACAGTCAGACACAACTGAGTGACTTTCACTTAGTCTATTATGCTGCTGCTACACCACAAAGTTCAAGAGACTAACAGTCCTCCCCCAGGAGAAGGAAATGGCAATGCACTCCAGTGTTCTTGCTTGAAAAATTCCATGAACAGAGGAGCCTGGCGGGCTACAGTCCATGAGGTTGCAAAGAGTCTGCCACAACCGAGCAGCTGAGCACAGCTCAAGAATCCTCTCTGCGGTCTGTGGGGCTTCTCCCTAGGGTGCTGCTGCTGCTTTTGTTTGTCTCAGGTTGTGGGTGTCTTCCTCACTTCCGGAGACTCAGGCAGACAGGAGGCTGAGAGTCCCATCCCCTGCCCAGCCTACCTGCTGCTGTGAGCTGTGAGACTCTCACTGCCCTGATTCCTTTCTTCACATCTGTGTCTATGTGCTGGTTAGTATCTATGGTATTTGTTTTGTTTTTTTCAGGGTCTACAAATAACTTTATTGGACAAATAACCCAACAGCCTTCCTAGATTGAGGACTACCCTCCCCAAGCCATTTATCACACTAACTTAAAGCACAGAGTTTGCACAGTTAGGAATTAAATATATATATGTATCATTTCTATGTATAAGTCAGACTTTGCCCCAACAACATCATGGACTAGACTGCTGCTGCTGCTGCTAAGTCACTTCAGTCGTGTCCTACTCTGTGTGATACCATAGACGGCAGCCCACCAGGCTCCCCCGTCCCTGGGATTCTCCAGGCAAGAACAATGGAGTGGTGTGCCATTGCCTTCTCCAATGGACTAGACTAGTTACAAGCTATTTGCAAGCTTTTACATTTTAAGTATTCCTTTTATGGTTGTTCTTTCTACCCCTACACAGGGCTCCACTGCTTTTCTCTTGACTGATCCTGAAAGGATGGGTATACCGAATGGAAAGGGGTTGTGGGCTCCTCAGAGCTACTGGCACCAGCCCTAAGGTGCTGTGCCTTACCACAGGGTTGTGGATGTATAAGGGCAAGGGGGATTAGACACAGTAGGTGGGATGGGGCACAGGCATCCAGAACCCTTTCTGATCCCCCTCCTATGCCCTCTCAACTTGGGGTGGGGGACAATAGCTAGTTTCAGTGGGGAGGGATTATCCCAGCCCTGAATAGAGGGAGAAACCTCCTACACCAGTCCCTACTCCTGTTAACAGTCAGCAAATTGTCCATTAATCTGGGGCTGGGAACATATGGGCAGGTATGCAGGAAGAATCAGGCTTGTTCTGCCCCCAGCTTCTGTCCAACACTGGAGGAATCGAGGTAGTGAACAACTGAAATGCTCCAACAAGAGAGTAAAGGCAGTGAGGGAAAGGAAGTTCCCGCTTGTGTGCAGCTCCCTTAGCCCCGGGGCTGGAAAAAGGCAGACCTTGCTTGTAAAGTGCTGTTGTCTCTAGCAAGGCTGGGCCCTAGCAAGCTTGGAAGAATGCAGGCCAGGCAAGAGGGCAGGAACCGGCGTTCCTGACTAGCACGTGCCCTGCCATGCTCCTTGTAGGGATTGCTGGGAATGGTGGACTGGTAATTCCGCCATCAGCACTCGCCAGCTTCCAGTCACCTCTGGTCCACATACAAACCAACAGCCAACCAGCATTTAGGACAGCCCTGCTCACAGCTGAAGGTTCCAGGCCAGTGGAGTTTATTCATGGTTGTGGCCCCAGTCTAGGTTCCTCACTGGAAGCCACACCTTGAGCCCGGGGGTTTCTTGCTGGGGCAGGAGGTGTTTATGCCTGTCACTACCCTTGGCTCACACCTCACAGAAGATCACAGGGAAATCCACAAGGATGAATCTAGTTTCACGGTGCCCTGAGGAATCAGGTTCTTAATTCACCCGCCTCAACTTGGCCTGCTTCTGCCTGTTCTTGGTGACAATTGTCTCTTCAAGGAATTCGTGAGCCAGATCCCCATCCTTGTCATAGAACGTGGAGCTGTGGCTCATGAATACAAAGTGGGGCACGACTCGGGCCTTGCAGTTGCCCCAAAGTTGGTCAGTGACCTCTGGGCCAAGGCCTCCCCGCCCCAAGGCGAAGAGCCACAGGCTCCGAGCTTTGGAGCCACTGGTGCCCATGCCAGGGTGGCAGGCACATGACAGGCCCCAGGGCAGTTTCACTCTTACAAGGCCATTGCTGCCGTGCCCTGCCTGGGCCGTGGCTTGAAGACACCCCTGCCGTTTTCTCTCCACAGAAACCTCTGGTATTTGTTGTTTTTTCTTTACAAAGCAATATAATGCTTTTGGTTAAAAAAGAAGTCAAAACCTCAAAAGCTTGGAAAGTAAAAAATTCAGTTTTCCTCGTGTACTGCTGATCCTCTTTACACTGTCCTCACTGTTCGCAGAACCCAGGGTAGGCAAAGTTCGAGCTAAGAATCTGGAAGGAGTCTTGAGGAGCTGTAGGAACTGCAGATATGTTTATTCTCTCCTGGCTGGCATGGCAGCCACAACACAGCCTCTTTCTTGGCTGATACAGCAGCCATAACATAACCAAAACATAGCCTTAGCATGACCATGATGCCACTCCAGTGTAGCCCCAATGCAGCAGCAGCCAGGGCTTTCATGAGGCAGCTCATACAGGCATACCACACAAAGTAGCCTGTGACCAAGCAAGTACATTGTGACACGCGTGTGCGGTGCTGTAAGTGATCTCAGCTGTTACATAACTGTGCAAAGTCATTGTTTATAGAACATGGGTGAGAGAGCCTGACTGGCACCATCTTGTTCATTTCCCCACACCTGGGCACCTTCCAGGAAACCCCAGAGTTCCCACAAAGGCAGGGGTGTCTACTGCCTTGTTCTCTGATGAGTGTGCAGCACACAGGAGAGACCAGTGCTTGGTGCTTTGGGGTGCCCAATGTTCGTTGAATGAATAAAAGAATTATGAGTCAATGAGCATGAGTAAATTCATGGTGTGAATTTTCCAGTATTTTTTCTGTGTGTACACCAGCATAAATATAATTAGGGAGAAAAATGGTATCATGGTATAAATGTGATTCTGAACTTCCTTCCGACTCGAACGATTCATTGTGGGTATTTCTTTTATGTTACGGTATACTAGGAAATGGCAACCTACTCCAGTATTCTTGCCTAAAAAGTCCCATGGACAGGGGAGCCTGGCAGGCTACAGTCTGAAGTGTCACAAAGAGTTAGACATGACCGAGCTGCTAAGCAGCAGCAGCGGGGTTTCTCAGCTTTGGCACTGTTGATACTCAGGGCGAGATTGTTCCCTGTTGGGGCTCAGTCCTGTGTGCTGTAGGGTATTGGGTAGCATCCCTGGCTGCCACCCACCACAGGCCAGTAACACCCTCCACCATGTGATTAAAAAATATAAGGTTTTCTCAGTTCAGTTTGGTTCAGTCGCTCAGTCATGTCCGACCCTTTGTGACCCCTTCAATTGCAGCACGCCAGGCCTCCCTGTCCATCACCAACTCCCGGAGTTTACTCAAACACATGTCCATCGAGTCGGTGATGCCATCCAGCCATCTCATCCTCTGTTGTCCCCTTCTCCTCCTGCCCCCAATCCCTCCCAGCATCAGGGTCTTTTCCAATGAGTCAACTTTTTGCATGAGGTGGCCAAAGTATTGGAGTTTCAACTTCAGCATCAGTCCTTCCAATGAACACCCAGGACTGATCTCCTTTAGGATAGACTGGTTGGATCTCCTTGCAGTCCAAGGGACTCTCAAGAGTCTTCTCCAACACCACAGTTCAAAAGCATCAATTCTTCAGCGCTCAGCTTTCTTCACAGTCCAACTCTCACATCCATACATGACCACTGGAAAAACCATAGCCTTGACTAGACAGACCTTTGTTGGCAAAGTAATGTCTCTGCTTTTTAATATGCTATCTGGGTTGGTCATAACTTTACTTCCAAGGAGTAAGCGTCTTTTAATTTCATGGCTGCAGTCACCATCTGCAGTGATTTTGGAGCCCCCCAAAATGAGGTCTGACACTGTTTCCACTGTTTCCCCATCTATTTGCCATGAAGTGATGGGACCAGATGCCATCATCTTAGTTTTCTGAATGTTAAGCTTTAGGCCAACTTTTTCACTCTCCTCTTTCACTTTCATAAAGAGGCTCTTGAGTTCCTCTTCACTTTCTTCCATAAGGGTGGTGTCATCAGCATATCTGAGATTATTGATATTTCTCCCAGCAATCTTGATTCCAGCTTGTGCTTCATCTAGCCCAGCGTTTCTCATGATGTACTCTGCATATAAATTAAACAAGCAGGGTGACAATATACAGCCTTGACGTACTCCTTTTCCTATTTGGAACCAGTCTGTTGTTCCATATCCAGTTCTAACTGTTGCTTCCTGACCTGCATATAGGTTTCTCAAGAGGCAGGTCAGATGGTCTGGTATGCCCATCTCTTTCAGAATTTTCCAGTTTATTGTGATTCACCCAGTCAAAGGCTTTGGCATAGTCAATAAAGCAGAAATATACATTATAAAGAAAAAATATACATTTTTCTGGAACTCTCTTGCTTTTTTGATGATCCAGCGAATGTTGGCAATTTGATTTCTGGTTCCTCTGCCTTTTCTAAAACCAGCTTGAACATCTGGAAGTTCTCGGTTCACGTATTGCTGAAGCCTGGCTTAGAGAACTTTGAGCATTACTTTACTAGCATGTGAGATGAGTGTAATTGTGCGGTAGTTTGAGCATTCTTTGGGATTGCCTTTCTTTGGGATTGGAATGAAAACTGACCTTTTCCAGTCCTGTGGCCACTGCTGAGTTTTCCAAATTTGCTGGCATATTGCATGCAGCACTTTCACAGCATCATCCTTTAGGATTTGAAATAGCTCAACTGGAATTCCATCACCTCCACTAGCTTTGTTTGTAGTGATGCTTTCTAAGGCCCACTTGACTTCACAATCCAGGATGTCTGGCTCTAGGTGAGTGCTCACACCATCGTGATTATCTGGGTCATGAAGATCTTTTTTGTACAGTTTTTCTGTGTATTCTTGCCACCTCTTCTTAATATCTTCTGCTTCTGTTAGGTCCATACCATTTCTGTCCTTTATTGAACCCATCTTTGCATGAAATGTTCCCTTGGTATCTCTAATTTTCTTGAAGAGATCTCTAGTCTTTCCCATTCTGTTGCTTTCCTCTATTTCTTTGCATTGATTGCTGAGGAAGGCTTTCTTATCTCTCCTTGCTATTCTTTGGAACTCTGCATTCAAATGGGAATATCTTTCCTTTTCTCCTTTGCTTTTCGCTTCTCTTTCACAGCTATTTGTAAGGCCTCCTCAGACAATCATTTTGCCTTTTTGCATTTCTTTTCCATAGGGATGGTCTTGATCCATGTCTCCTGTACAAAAGGTTCTCTAGATGTTGTCAAATGTTCCTTGCCTGGGAGGCAAAATTGCCCCCGTTGAAGAATAGCAGTTATATAGACTTACCTCTTTTTTTTCAGGGGGTGGGGAGAGGCATCTCAGAGTATTCCATAATATCCTCATGGAATTTTTAAGCTAATCCTACATTGATGCACCATTGTTTCCAGACCCTTGTAAGGGCCCTACCTGAACATTATGTAAAGGTTTCTGCAGGAAACTTCCTAGAAATGGGATTGCTGGACCAGAGCAAGGGCTGGCTTGTACCAATTTGTGTCCCTTCTGATAGGGCACAGAGAGTGGGAATTAAATTTTGTCTTTGCCAATCTGATGCTGTTTATAAGTAATGAAACTTCTTGTTTTGTCCTCTTATAGAATTGCATTGGCTATTCCTTCTAGGAAAATGTTAAAAACAGTAATGATTGTCAGGAACTCCTTCCTAGCTCTAACTTTAGCTGTGTTCTTGGAAAAAATGTTATCCCATAGACATGTGTGTGTGCATCTCATAGATATAAATTCATTTTCCAAATTCTCTGCACTAAGGCTTTAATGTTCTTTTTGATCATAAGTTTGATTATGAGAGAGTTTTAACATTTCTGAGTGATTGGTGGGTTTCATTTCTACTTTTATTATTTATTTCTAATCTTTTCAATTGTGGTAAAAAAAATATATAGGGCTGTGTGTAATATTTCTTTTGGAATTAACTGAGATTTCCTTTGCAGCTCAAGTCAATTTTTGCATATGTTTATAAACAGCACATTACCACTACAACTACCCCAGAGCTACACCGGGCGCAGAGACACCCCCTGCTGTGTCCTCAGAGTTTTGAACAATACCTGGCATATAGTCAGTGCTCAGTGTAAATTTGTCAAATAAAGGAGTGGATGAGGGGTCCTTGGAAAGGTGTATTTATTACTGTAACATATAACTTCTGAGAAACATGATTATTTTGTTTTTTTAGTTTTCAGTTCAGGTAAGTTGCTCAGTGGTGTCTGACTCTTTGTTACCCCTTGGACTGCAGCACGCCAGGCTTCCCTGTCCATCACCAACTCCCGGAGCTTGCTCAAATTGATGTCCATCGAATCGGTGATGCCATCCAACCATCTCATCCTCTGTCATCCCCTTCTTCCACCTTCAAGCTTTTCCAGCATCAGGGTCTTTTCCAATGAGTCGATTCTTCCCTTCAAGTGGCCAAAGTATTGGAGCTTCAGCTTCAGCATCAGTCCTTCCAATGAATATTCAGGACTGATTTCCTTTAAGATTGGCTGGTTTGATCTCCTTGCAGTCCAAGGGACTCTCAAGAGTCTCCTCCAACACCACAGTTCAAAAGCATCAATTCTTCAGTGCTCAACTTTCTTTGTGGTCCAACTCTCACATCTCTACTTGACTACTGGAAAAACCGTAGCTTTAACTATATAGACCTTTGTTGGAAAAGTAATGTCTCTGCTTTTTAATATGCTGTCTAGATTGGTCATAGCTTCTCTTCCAAGGAGCAAGCGTCTTTTAATTTCATGGCTGCAGTCACCATCTGCAGTGATTTTGGAACCCAAGAAGATAAAGTCTGTCACTGTTTCCATGGTTTCCCCATCTATTTGCCATGAAGTGATGGGACCGGATGCCATCATCTTAGTTTTTTGAATGTTGAGTTTTAAGCCAGCTTTTCCACTCTCCTCTTTCACTTTCATCAAGAGGCTCTTTAGTTCCTCTTCACTTTCTGCCATAAGAGTGGTATCATCTGCATATCTGAGGTTACTGATATTTCTCCCTGCAATCTTGATCCCAACTGTGCTTCATCCAGCCTGGCATTTCTCATGATGTACTCTGCATATAAGTTAAATAAGCAAGGTGACAATATACAGCCTTGATGTAGTCCTTTCCCAATTTTGAACC